AGTCTGTTCCCTGTTCAGCTCAAACAGCAGCAAAACTCCAGTCCAAAGACTATTAGCACAATCCAATCAAGATTGGTTTTCCCTAAGGCTCCATATCTGACTTCTTGAAGAGGAAGGACTTGAGGGGAAACGTGATGGCACAGTTTTTCTCTGCAAGGAATGATCTGCCAGCTGACACCTGGTGACAACCGGGCTTAATATAAAATTGCGAGACCCTCCAAAGCACTTGCACTTGCATGAGGACAGCTGGCATTATCTTCTCCTTTCTCTCTCACATACTTTTATTTACACACTTTCATCCTGTATGGTCTTCCAGAAGCCCCCTTAATCAGAGAGCCCATCTCCAGCGCATCTCAGCAAAGCTCCTACTCAAGTGTGTTTCGCCAGTTTTGCCCTTGACTTTGGCAGAGCACGGCAAAGCACACACAGATCTGGGGATTACATGCAGGATTTCCGTGGGGGGAAAGAAAAGCTGTAATAGGAAACTTGTTGTGCCTGGTTGCTGCGCACCACCACCGCCACAGCACTTTCAGGCAGTGTGGCGCATTATTGTGAGGATGTTTGTTGCTCAAACAAGTTCAACAGAGCAGACTATTTTTGTTTCACGGCAAATGAAACTCCACTTGTTTGGCTTCCAAGTGATATCAGCAGAGATTTGAAGCACACACCATGTCCCTGAACGAGCTGGATGGTGTAACTCGAAGGTCGAAATTTGCTTCATTAGTCATTCGAAATCAGAAGCAAAAGTGGTCAGATGATATCCAATCCATTTTATGAAAACATTCACCCATGGCTCTTGGATGGAGCCATGCATTCCTAACTGTTTTACTCAATATTTGTTTAGGATGTCTGCACATGTTGGACCATTGGCAAAAATGACATTTTTCAATCCTTTTCAAATCCGTATCAGCCCCAGTCAAAACTAGGAATGCATGCTATATCGGGATGTTATCAGCTATTATATTTGGCCTATTAGGATAGAATAGCATGTTCTTATAATATTTTTATGTATCCACCATGGGATAATTTAATTCATGAACCGATTTCATGCAAAAAAAAGCATTGGTTATGTTGGCACGAACATGCACGTTTCATCCTTGTATGTTCAGCCTCGCGTTTGCCGTAAAGGGCTCCTTTATAACATGCCTTCAAAGAAATCTTGCACAATAGGCAGTTGAAAGGGCATAGGATTGAATGGCCACTTTAAGAGTAAGCCGTACTTGGCCTTCAAGTATACATTCCTGCTGCTTTGTGTTTCCTCTGTGGTCCTGCTCCTCGAACCCGCCCACTCACATTCAGGAACCAGACGCTCTGGGTTCCCACAGGGCCATCAGCCAAAGCAAACTACAGAGAGGAAATGTGGCCCTCACTCACTCACTCACTTGCTCACTCTTTCAATCACTCGCTCATGTGCTCCAGCATTAATGGAGGCCTTGTTATATTTTCTCAGTCATGATTAACAATATAGAGCATGCTACATTTTATCCAACATGAATATTTCATCTGTATTTATAGTCTAGGCTAGGGCAACACATAGTGCTTTGCAATAACCTCATTTAGAGTTCTTCAAAATTGTATCATAAATCCAGATGGCCACAAGCTTCCTTGAAGGTTTATATAAGGCTCCAGGTTTGCACCCAGATGTTGTGCATGTCCTAATCTGGATCAATTGTGTGGTTTTGATACAGTCTGCCCTGCATGTGTGTCACGAGGCCACACGTTTGATGTGGTGATGAGTGAGTCCCGTGTCACGGCTGCCCTGATTTCAGATCAGCGGACGTTGCATCAGCGGCTCCCTTGTGGTGTCTGGGAGGGTGCACAGTCAAAGACTATTATGTCTGGGACGCCCTGGTCTTCCTGGAACTCCAGACCTCAGGGAAGGAACAAACACAGACAGACGTTCTTTGTTGGGTGTGCAGTGGTTGTTCATCGCTTGAGTCATGTTTTGACTTACCCATCCGCATTTTTGGAAGGGAAAAAAAACAACAAATTTCCCTTTGCGCAAGGCAAGCAGGTGTTCAGACTTCTAACAAAACATGGGTAGTGAGCCAGTTGTACATTTTGATGCTTTGCTTGACCCTCTGAACCCAGATAAATATTGTCTGTCAATGGTGATTACCTAAAACTCATTATATTGGACAATGTTTTCTACCATGTTGTGTATTTTCTGTTTTGAATTTTGTTTTATGAATTTTTGTTTCAACGTGATCAATCTGGGCAGTTTAATCACACACTGAATTGTTTTTGGTATTTTGTCGCATCCAAAAAGTTGGGGGAATAAGTCAGATATTTGTGTCTGATTATGATTACTTTCCAAATTCACCCACCCTAAAAAGGTTTCTTAATGATTCCACATAATAATTATATATATAACTATATCTAGTGGTGTAACGAGTTACAAATCCTACGGTTCGGATCATGTTATGGTTTTTAGTTACGTATCGGACCATTTTTTGGATCAGCCAAAAAGGGGAAGAGACAAATTTGCTTTCCATTTATTATAAAAACAGTACTGCAAGAAACTTTTGGTTTTAACAAACAGAACTTAGAACTTGTAATTTTATGAAAAATAAAATAAAGAATTAATCACCGGAATAAAAATAAATAGTAAAATAATCAGTACTGTGAAAAATTTACTGTTATTAGTACTGGAGATGATAACGTTAAATGTAGATATCTAACATTATCATTTTTACCATTCATATTTTTTGTCTCATTTTTAATAAATGATTCGATTAATTATTCATAAAACTTCATGTTTAATTGCTAGATGTGTCATTTTTGAAGAATTATTTAGTGGCAAATTTTTGATGGCTGGTTGTCACCACCTATTGGTTAAAAAGTGTAATTGCTGCCTACAACTTTAATTTTTGAGCATCAGTGAAATGCATATGACAGTGATTTTAACCTTTACCATAAACATTAGTGCTTTTATCTAAACTATAAACTGTTATCCCAGGACTTTGTGTTATTTTACTGTTTGTAACTTCATAATAACTAACTCAAAAGACTCTGAATCCTTTCTTTGTTTTTGCATATTTCAAACACAGATTTTAATGCAGCAATTCGAAGGATTAGTAAACCTATAGAAATCACTATAATTTATAATGTTTTTTGCGTGGATGTTGAGATCCCGATCTTTAATGAATAATTGCGGCTTATACTGAATGCAGGCTAAACAAGCAGTGACAGAAAACACCTTTAATAACCTAAGAAACCCTCCACATCCTCTATAACATCCCACAATTTCTTCCGTCTTCATTACATTTTACAGCTAAGCCGAAATGCTTTGCTGAGTAAATGAGAGGCGATATCTTTGCGATCGTTACAGATTTAGGATTAATCTACAAAAAAAAAATGAATCTACGTGGTCGTGTGTTCTGAACCATGGGTTGTGTTCCATACAAACCACAGATTAACCGTGATGTGTTACACCCCTATATATAATACAATTGTATTGTCTTCATTTACTAACAGTCATGAAGTAGGTTCTAATTCAATTGTAGTACCTAAGAATATCCTGTTTAAAATGCCTGCTTGTAGCATTAAATTTTTTTTTTACTAAATGGCATTGCCAAACACTGATGTGGCTAGTACTATATACCACAGCATTTGAGTTTAGTTTCACAACATTGTCATCTGTACTGTATGTGATACATGCAAGACTTTTGCAGTTTTAAAAAACATCGTCACATGAATACACCCTTAAACTGTTCATTTTTAGTGACTCGTTTTAACAGACTAATAAAAGGAATTATCCCTGATAAATAATTTGCCCTTGAATCGAACTGTTCTTTATTTATTACATACAATTAAACTTCTAATTGGCAAACTAAAGCCATTTTTTTTTCACCTTTGGACATTTAACACAATTTTAGCTCTGTTTAAAGCCCTAACAGGTGGAAAAGAAATCAAAAATCAGTTCTACAGTAATGTATGCGATAATAAAAGGATTAATTAATATATATTACTTTCCACTCATGAGGTATATGTATTCAATACCTTGTCAGTATTAGAATATTTCACATTCTATGGCTATTTAGTTATTCAGAAAGTGCGCTGAATAGTTAAGAGGCTGCTCTCAAAGCCACTACTCTCAGCCTGAAGAGTTCTTGATCATGAATTGGTCCGCGCTACTCCATTTTCAGCATTGCAAAGTAAGTGTGTGCTTTGCATGTGTGTTTCTCGGCTTCAAGGACCATGTTACCCGACCGTAAACTCGTCACTGAAGCAAAGCGTGGAGGCAAGTGTGTATTAGGCGTGTGTGAGTCAGATCCGCGTTGAAAGAATGGTCTTCAAACAGCCTCGGTCACATACCGTGCAACCCACGCCTTGTGATAACAGTAAGGGCTTATTATTGTAGTTAAGACTGGCACAGAGAGCCAATGCTAAATAATGTGGACTAAAAGATTCCTGTCAGCAAGACTTCTGTGGCAGGTGTCAGACCAAAATAAAGCACCACATCTCCCCCTTGTGTTGTGTTATAGTCAACAACTCTTCTCTATCCAGTTCTAATTCTCACCCATATGCTGTTTTTCACCCAAAAACACCACATTTGCTCATTCGTGGTGATTTATTTTCATACCAGCACACCTTCTTGACTTTATCCTCAGCTAACTTTCACGTTGACTCTGGATGCTCGGGTTATGGAGGTGTTTCAATTCTTGAACTTTGAGTCAGAAGGCGCAGGTTTGAACAGGCTGATGGTACGACAAATGTAAACACATTCAGGACATGACATGCTGAAACCTCAGGGCAAAGGGAAGGGTTTACTAACTGTCTTCCTTTTTTTAGGAAGCCTTTTAAGTTGTATGAATACCTGTAGTGTTTGGGTTTTATTTGTGCCGATGCTAAATTTACCCCGATTTTTTTTTTTCTCAGATATATGATGAGAGCTTTAAGTCAGTTTGACACCTACGTGGTCAAAGTTCTACCCCAGTCTTGCCTTCACTGTGTGTTTTTCATCTCATAAAGTGTTGTTTTTGTGTTTTGTTTTGCAGGCATACAGTCCTATTCCCTCCAAAAAGCTTAAACATGATCGCTCCAGATCGCCATCAGCAGATAGAGAGAAGCCAGCTGATTGGCTACAGTCTCTGGCGGCTTCTGCTAACAAGGTTGGTTTCTAAAATGATTTTGATATAGTTTTATTTGTATTTTATGGTTTTGAAGCTGCTTGGTTATTTAGAATTTAACTATATAGTGAAAGCATAGTGTAAATGTAGCTCAGTGTAACAATGGCTAATAATTAGTTGTTAAATAGCAGTATTATTTATACAACAGTACTGTCTAGTTCTTGAATCTGATTAGCTGATAGCCGAGCGATATTCTGCAAAAACAGCACTTGTTCAGACTCCTTACTCTTGTGTATTACTCCGCTCACATAGAGTAACAGCGGATCAATAAACTCACTACAGTTTGACAAATATTGCAGCTGTTGGACAACATAATGTACTTTTGAGGCTTTTTAGACGAGAATGTAGTTGTTTAGATTGCAACTATACAATTTATTTTTAAGGATAGTGCCTATTTTAAATATTTATAATTTCTGACATTCAGCACGTCTGCTGCCATTAGCCTGTCACTGAGCAAAGCAAAGAGGGTTGACATTCTGCCACAAGATGGCGACAGAGACCACATAATAAGCCCTTTAGAGAAGGAAAAACTTATTGTAATTTTATATTACAGTTGATCAAATCATTATAAAACTAGTAAGTGACACTCGATCACTCGCTCTTGCATGTTGTATTGCTGTAATTATACCATAGTAATCTGGTAGCTGGTAGCTCTAGTAAGATTTAGTAATCTGCTTTTACTTTTTCGGGATTCATTATTGTGATCTTCTGATTGCAACAGAAAACTAATGAGAAATCTCTGTAAACTGATGGCATATCATGCCGTTCAGTCTTAAAATGTGAGCAAAATCACCTGTTTTGTCATCACTCTCTACTAAAGAATCATCCAAATACTAGCTCTGAAGTGACATTGGTGAATTAGCAACAGTTTCTGCTGTTCTGACATCAGCTGCAGATGTGAATGAAAGGCAGAAGAAAGTAGTTCCTCATACAAAAGGATTTTTGAGACTGTAGTCTAGTGGGACACTAACGCACACCTCCCACCAGTGACGATATACAGCCATATCGCAATGCTACTCATGTGATATTACCCATATATAAATATATAGTAAAGTCAGAGATACTGATGCTTTGATACCAAAATCAGTTATTTTTATGTGAATTTATGAGTAAATTTACACATCCCATCATTATAATGTACTATATGAAAATGCATAATATTTTTTAGATTTGCTAAAGATTCAATTCAACTGTATAATTATAGTTAATTAGTTAGTTAAGGTCAATTAAATAGTTAATATCATTGCATCTCTAATTAAACACTCTTCTTTTTCTTCGATAGGATCTTAAGCAGCTCCAGTTCAAGCAGAGACCTTCAGCCTTCAGGCCCTGGTCTCCCAGAGTTCCCTCTGCTGAGCGAGAGACTCCCAATCACAAGTATGAGAGGTACGCCAACTGTTTCACTAATTCAGTGATCATAAGCCATTAGTCCTTAATTCATCATCTCCATTGTGAAATGCATAAATATATTTCTTTGAGGAAGACGTGTAATTAATGTCTTCTGTTCATCTGACATTCAGATCGCTCGCTAAAACGCAAGACAATCTGGCAGTTCCAAATGTGTCTCTGCCCATTGCTGCCTTCAAAAATAATGAGCAGCCAGCACACCGTTTCTCTCAGCCCACTGAGAGCCACAACACAGGCAAGACGGAGAGCTCCAGGCCAAGAAAGAGATGGCCGTCAGCAGAGAGACAATCACAGCCAGCCACCAAAACCTCTCTGTGCACTCCAATCAAACAGCGGCTGCAGGAGAACCACGACTCAGATGAGGAAATCCAGGTGGACAACTGTGCTGAAGGTCAGAAAAGAAGAGAATTTGCATTATGTAAAAATATAATGTATACAGTCATATGACTCTGAAAAATTTAGCAACAAAAATGTAACTTTGCAACACTAGGTGCATTTCTATATATATATATATATATATATATATATACATACACACATATACACACACACACACACACATATTCATTCATTTTCTTTTAAGCTTAGTCCATTTATTAATCAGGGGTCACCACAGTGGAATGAACAATATGTTATTACATAGCAGATACCCTTCTAGCTGCAACCCATCACTTGGAAACACCCATACACTCTTGCATTTTCAAATAAAATTGAAAAATTTGTAAAAAATTATAAAAACAAATTTTCCTGTACTATAAACCTATTTTTGCTGACCTTATGCCTAGAAAATCCAAATTATATCCAAACCCAACTATTTATAGACCTCAGCTTGCTTCATGACAAAATATGTATAGCTTTGCTTTGGGCAAAGATCCAAAGACCAAACGATACTCAATGGATAAGACCTGTCAAGCCTTCCATTAGAAAAAGATTACTTGTATACTAAAAGCCAAACAGCATGTATTAGAAAATATATGGAGTCCTTTCATCACATTTAACAGAGGAAGATGTGGATGAAAAATGTTTTGTGGGCAATAGAGTTCCTATCTGGCAGTTCCGTATTGATTAGCTCAATACATGTTTCTAGAACTTTGTTCAGTATGATTATAAGAGTCAATTTTAAATAGATTACCTCTTACCTCAATAGGAGAAGCTTTTTTTAAGTATGTTTTTTTGTTTTGTTTTGTGTTTATTTCTATAAAATATAATATATTGATTTGTTTATTTAGTAAATGCAGCAATGTTGATTTTGTTAAGAGTTTAGTATAATTGTAAAAGGCTGCATTGAGCAAAATAAAAACATTTGGCCTAATGCAAACTGTAAATTTTTCGCTCTCATGAGGTGATTTGGAGGCAAATTAATAAAAAATTTTTTTGCAAAGCTGCAACAAACTTTTTTTGCTTTTAGAGGTCACATGGTATAAAATCACACAGTCAATCTGTTTATTTATAGAAACTTGCACAACTCAAATATAGTTGATCTGCTCGTATAGAACTTCAGAATCCTCAGTTTCTCTGTGGAGTGATATTGTTTGTCTGGTGCACATGTATCTCATTTTATCAAAAGTAATGTCAAGTATGTTGACTGCAGTATAGTGAACATACTTATGAAATATATCACCATAACTTTTAGAATGACTATGAAACGATGAGTTTTAGTCACATAACACATAACGCTGTTTTTAGTATTAATGTTGTGAAATGTTTGTCGTAAGTGTGTGGTGTGGTATATATTCAGTTCATCTTTATTTATATAGCGCTTTTAAAATGTAGATTGTGTCAAAGCAGCTTAACATAGAAGTTCTAGTAAACTAAAACTGTGTCAGTTCATTTTATTTCAGTTCAGTGTGGTTTAATTTTTACTGCTGAAAGACCAAAATGTTGTATATCTATTACACTGAGGAACAAATTGTCCCATTTACAGTTACAGTAATGTAAATCCTGTCATTTCCGCAATTGTTTTTATCAACATTCTAAAATTTTTGCAAAAGTTTTGTGCATACTTGTGATGGAATCATGTCTACTGTTTCGATTTAGAGTAAAATAAATAGTGTGCTTTTACTTCATCACCTGTATTGTCTATTTTCTGATTGCAGTTGCTGTCTCTCGTTCGCTGATGTCTCCTCCCTTCACCAATGGTGTCGGGGTGATGACCCTCAGCCCTCACAGCTCTGCAGAGGTGCATGATGGGAGGGCGAGACTGGCAGCGGGTCATTGTTCAGAGCTGGAGCTCCTCAAGCAGACGCTCAGCAGTGACCTGAGCTCCAAAGAGGCCAGAGAGAAGTTCCTGCAGGAGATCATCCGCATGAGGGTGAAGCAGGAGGAGAAACTGGCAGCCGCTCTGCAAGCCAAACGCAGCCTGCAGCAGGTGTGGACTGATAAATATTCAGCAATATACATAATAAATATACATATGTGTTGAAATACACATAAACCTGACAAAAGTTACATTTATATACAATTTATATTAATAAATTTTATATAAATCTATTTAAACACTAAAAATAGAGTAGATCAGTTTCTAGATATAGAAATAGTAATGTTTTCTATGAATGTATATTTTTATGGTGAAGAATGTAACCTTTAAAACTGTTAGGTAAGTAGTATATATATATGTATTTTATATATGTTTTTAATACAAACCAAAATATTACTTCATATTCTATGAAATCTGTTTTAAATAATACCATTAGTAATAATACAATTCTGAATATTTCAAATATAACACTTCTTCACTTATTTAATTTATTATTTCAATATTTTTGAATATTTTGTATGTTGATAAGTCCACTAACTGAAATACAGTTTGATGAAGTACTGAAATACTAAAGCTAAAACTGAAAAATAAATAAAATAAATAAAGCTAATACAAAACAAACTGATCTAAAATACTGTAACAAAAATAAATTTAATAATGATGTTAATAGTTAAAAGAGATAATATAATAATATTAGAGGTGGCGCAGTGGGTAGCGATGTCACCTCACAGCAAGAAGATCGCTGGTTCAAGCCCCAGCTGAGTCACAGTTGGCATTTCTGTGTGGAGTTTGTATGTTCTCCCCATGTTCGCATGGGTTCCCCACAGTCCATTGACATGTGGTATAGGTGAATTGAATTTTTTAAATTGTCCATAGTGTATGAGTGTGAAAGAGAGTGTGATTGGTTGTTTTTTTCCCTGATGGGTTGCAGCTGGAAGGGCATCCGCTGCATAAAACATATGCTGGATAAGTTGGCGGTTCATTCTGCTGTGACGACCCTTGATAAATAAAGGGACCAAGCCGAAAAATAAATGAATGAATGAATAATAATAGAATAGTTGGTAAATGTAGTCTCCAGATTGCTTTGTCGGCTTCACATGTTGTCCATGATCAGTAACACTGATTGTCTCTGACAGGAGCTGGAGTTTGTCAGGGTGACTAAGAAGGGCCGGCTGAGGGAGGCCATCGAAGCCAAGCGGAACCTAAGGAAGGAGATCGAGCGCCTCCGTGTGGAGTGTGAGAAGAAGGTGCGGGACGCCAGCGAGTCCTGCGACAGGCTGAAGAGGGATTTGGACAGAGAGAGACGGACCCGTGTCTGTGACAAGAACTGTGAAGCAGGACGTCTGAGGGCCAAATACTCCTCACAGGTAAAATCCGGCTGCTGGATTTGATCTGAACGATTTGAACTTCACTTTATATGTAATAAAGTATAATGACAAGAGGATTACATTTCTAATCACAAGCTTTTAGTTCAATGATGCTTTTGAATAAATACCAAGTACAGATAATGTCACTAATGATCACTAATAACTAATGCCATCACTAATGTATCAATCACTAATAATATAATATAATATAATATAATATAATATAATATAATATAATATAATATAATATAATATAATAATAGCCTGATGAATGTTAAATGGATCAAATACATAAGCTATAAAATAGTTAGTATATCTTAATGAAAGTGTTTTAAACTTTTCTTATTTAAAACATGATTAAAACTGTAATTTTATTTTTGAGTTTAAAAATCTCAAACAAGTGACAAGTTAGAACAGCCAATAGTTGTTTATTAATATTAGTATCATTTTTATTGCATTTAAGAATGCATTTGCTTGTAGGTGCATAAAAGTACAACTAAAGTATTTAATACATTAATTCATGTAATAATATTAATATTATTTAATTATTTATTTATTTTACCACCAACAGTAAAAATACGAGACTAATAATTATGTTTTTTTTTCTTTCCTTTTCAAACATTATAATATTTGGTTAAAAAAAAAACTCTGCAATGAGATACTGGGGAAAAATGACAATGAGATTAATACATTAATAAATGTAATTACTTTTTGTTAAACAAATATGATAATCATGCTTAACCATATAATATTTCCAGGTATTGTTCAAAATAATGTACAAATAAAGAAGTAACATCGTTTTACACTTAACAAAAAAGCTTGAGTGTTAGATTAAGGCTCTGGATTTATATTATATTATATTATATTATATTATATTATATTATATTATATTATATTATATTATATTATATTATATTATAATACAGACAGAATTTAAAAGCTGACACTTGTTTCATTTTAAAAGCAGGAAGATTAGCTTTCAGATTTCAGGCATGCTAACAATGTAGTTTGGTCTGTTTGTTTTTTATTGAACATAAATTGAAAACTAATTTTAAGATAATCAGTTGTAATCCAAGAATCAAAGCAACAATTAATTATAAAATCAACCTCGTCCTTTTTTCCAGTGATGTCTAAATGATTTTTTTTAAACTTTCAAGCAAGTGACAAATTGGAAAAGCGAATAGTTATTTATTAATAACAGTATCATTTTTTATTGCATTAAAGAAGTATGCAGGTGCATTACAAAGGCATCTAATTTCATTTATTCCAAGTGATTAATAATTTAATTAAAATATTATTAATAATATTATTGATTTAATTGTACATAAAACAGTAAAAATACAAAACTATTAATTATGGTTGTTGTTGTTGTTGTTTTTCAAACATTAAAAGTTTTTATTTTAGGAAAAAAAAAACTGCTATGAGACACTGGGACAAAATGAACGCAGATTAATACATCAGATTATGTACAGTTGAAGTCAGAATTATTAGTCCCCCATTAATTTTTTTTCCTAATTTCTGTTTAATGGGGAGATTTTTTTTCAGCACGTTTCTAAGCATAATAGTTTTAATAACTCATTTCTAAAAACTGATTTATTTTATCTTTGCCATGATAACAGTAAATAATATTTGACTAGATATTGTCAAGATATTGTCTAGATATTGTTGTTTACTTTATTTTCCTTTATATAGTTCAGAGAGTAAGGAATGTGTTTAATCACCACCCAGTGTTTTTTTCTTCAATATTGTGAAATGAATGCGTTATGGTTTTCTCCCCCTCTCTTGTAATAACTCTCTGATTGAGAATCGCTAATAAAAAGAGTTCAACCAAATAATAAAAAATCAAGTAACATTGTTTCACACTCACCAACAGTGATTGAGTGGGCTCTGGGTTTGCATTATTTTGTAATACAGACAACATTTTTAAAGCTGACACTTGTTTTGTTTCTAAACTAACAGAATAGGAAGATTAGCAGATTCCAGGCATGCTAAAATTGTAGTTTGGTCCATTTATTTGATCAAACACCAATTGAAAACAGACATCAGGATAATTGCTTGTAATCTATAAAGCAAATCAACCTCATTCCAATGATGTCTAAAAGTTTATTTGTGATTCTCTCTATCAGATTGAGGATCTGCAGATGAAGCTCCAGCAGGCAGAAGTGGACCGTGAACAGCTGAGAGAAGACCTGCTGAAGGAACGAGACGCCCGACAAAACCTGGAGCGGGTCGTAAAAGAGCTTCAGGAGCAACTGGGCCACAAAGCAGAAACGGAGGCTAACACACAGCCCACCAAAGGAGATCAAGACATTTCTTAAACATTCACACTAATGAGTTTAGACTTTGATTTGAGGATGAGTAGAGGACGCCTCTAAAGCCTCATGGAAAAAAAAACTACCGTACTGCAGCACAGAAGAATGGTAAAGAAACGAATTCACAGCGTACGTTTACCAAATGAACTGAATCATGAACTCAAGAAACTGGAAAAGGAAACGTAAACGTGTGAAACAGACTCGCCTTCAGTTAGCTTCTCAAAGCTAATCGAAGGAAACTATTTTGTTATAAGCTATTTAAAAAAATTTTCGCAAAGATACTTGAAGAATATTTGGGAAGCGAGCGTGTTTTCTATTCACTTTGCGCTGACAGTAGCAGGCCAACGATCTGCTAGTGCCACCGAGACTCTGTAAACTAGAAAGTGTTACAAGCCAGAATTCTACATAGCACACCGGTGTTGTCATTATCATTGTTTGCTCGCTTTCATTTGACCTTTTTTGGTTTGTTTTGGCTGTTGTATTGAAATAGTTTGCATGTGCGACCATGCTATGGTGCAGAAAAGCTTTATTATAAACCTACGTTCATTTTTATTATGGTATGTTTAATTATCATGTACTTAAAACCCTATAGTATTGACGTCGATCAATATGAGATGAATCCTTACCCTCTCTCCTGAACTTCAGTATCAAGTATTAATTGCTTTAATTATCGCTATTTTAAACAGTCTAAGCGACTGGCATCACTCCACGCTCCATTTCGACGGTAAAATGAATGTTTTGTTGGTTCAGAATCGGAATTAAGTGACAGAAATCAATTATCAGTCACTCCTTTTAGGGCTTGTTTAAGGTATAAAAAAAGAAGCTGTTAAAGAAAATAACATTTCTACTTATATAGAAAATAAGGATATATATTTTTTTACTTTCTACCAAAAAAAAAAGAATTGCACTTTTAAGAAAAGATAGTTGTATTGTGTATTTGAAGCCCTCTGTTTTTTCAGATCTCAAACACCGAGTATTGAATAAAACCGTTTTCGTACATTTGTTACAGATGTGAATACCACTGAAACGTTAAAAAATAAAGCTGTAAATATGATAGCTTGCTTTACATTTCACTCTAAATGCTTTTTTTGTTGTTGTTGCTCCAAACCAATAGACTGTATGTATAAAATAATGTAACACGAAAATGAATTTCTCCTATCATATTTTCAACTAGAGGGCATTTACTGTATAAAATCCTTATATTAACAAGAAAAAAAAGTTGTAGATCATTATATTTCTGAATAATTTCAGTCCCTTTGGAAATCACTTTATATATAATTACCAAAGCAAAGAGTTTGGCTTCAGAAATGTGACTGACGAACTGTAAAGAGTTTCTCTGATGATCTTTTATCTCCCCTGTCTTGAATAAACCTGCAGTAATACATATGCTAACCTCTCCATCGCTCTATTTATTCTGGGTACATTTTTCCTTCAGCCTTCTCTATAAGGAGACCCGTCTGCTTGCCTGTGTCACTTTTTAACTCCTCTCGATGTTCTCATGCGTCAACACTAGAGATGTGCATTGTGTTCAGGGTCTTGTCATAGTTTTGGTTTTGATGTTGGTCATTTTCGTCACTTGTTTTAATGTTCTCCCCCCCACCTATAATAATATCATTAAACAAAATCAACCATTCTTGTGTTTTCTAACATTTTTTTTGCTGTATGGTATTTAAGAATTATAACTCTATACATATACAAACATGATACACTTCATACATATGCACCCACAATGCATTCTATACATATACAAACATGATACATTCTATACATATGCACACTCGATGCATTCTATACATATACAAACATGATACATTCGATACATATGCACACGTGATACATTCTATACATATGCACACTCGATACATTCTATACATATACAAACATGATACACTCAATACATATGCACACATGATACATTCTATACATATATAGACATGATACACTCAATGCATATGCACAAATAATACATTCTATACATATACACACACGACACACTGATGTCAAGGTCTGGGATGGAACCTGGGTCTCTGGCTGGAAAGCTGAGTTCCTTAACCACTGAGCTATTGGGAGCTGATAAATTCATACAACGAACAATGCACTCTATACATATGCACACATGATACATTCTATACATATGCACACATGATACATTCTATACATATGCACACATGATACATTCTATACATATACAAACATGATACACTCAATACATATGCACACATAATACATTCTATACATATGCGCACATGATACACTATACATATGCACACATGATACATTCTATACATATGCAAACATACTCTATACATATGAACATATTATACATTATTTACATATACAAACATGATACTCTATACAAACATGATACATTCCATACATTTGCACACAATAAACTCTATACATATACAAACATGATACACTTCATACTTCGGCACACATGATACATTCTATACACAAATACACACGATACACGGATGTCAACGTGTGGTATAGAACCCGGGTGTCTGGCTTGAAAGGTGAGTTCTTAATCCCTAAGCTACTAGGACTAGTACTAGGATGAATTCATATGGCGAACAATGCACACCATACACATAAAAACATGATACACTACATACATATGCACACATGATACATTCTATACATATGCAAACATGATACACTCAATACTTATGCACACACGATACAATCTTTACATAAACACGATGCACAGATGTCAAGGTCTTGGATAGAACCCGGGTCTCTGGCTTGAAAGATGACTTCCTGAACCACTGAGCAATTGGGAGCTGATAACCTCATTCGACGAACAATGCACAGTTGATACACTCCATACATATGCACACATGTAACATTTTATACATGACATGTTTTTTACATATGCACACATGATACATTCTATACAGCTGCACACATGATAAACTATACATATACAAACATGATACACATCATACATACGCACAAATGATGCATTCTATACATATACACACACGACACACTGATGTCAAGGTCTGGGATAGAACCTGGCTGTCTGGCTTGAAAGGTGAGTTCCTTAACCACAGAGCTACTGGGAGTTGATGAACACATACGACGAACAATGTACACCATCCAGATGCACACATAATAAACTCTATACATATACAAACATAATATACTTCATACATATGCACAAATGATACATTCTATATACTGTATATGCACACAATGCATTTTATACATATACAAACATGATAAACTCAATACATATGCACACATGATACATTCTATACATATACAAACATGATATACAATACATTTGCACAAAATATACATTCTATACATCTACACACATGATACATTTTATAGCTATGCTCACATGATACATTCTATACATATACAAACATGATACACTCAATGCATATGCAAAAACTATACATTATATACATATACACACACGACACACTGACATCAAGGTCTGGGATAAAACCCGGGTCTCTGGCTTGAAAGGTGAGTTCCTTAACCACTGAGCTACTACATAGTAGCTGATGAACTCTTATGACGAACAATGCATAACATACAGATGCACACATGATGCACTCCATACATATGCACACATGATACATTCTATACATGATACAGTTTTTACATATGCACACTCAATACATATGCACACATGATACATTCTATACATATACAAACATAATATACTCTATACGTATGAACATATTATGCATTATTTACATATACAAACATGATACTCTCTATACAAACATGATACATTCCATACATTTGCACACGTTACATTCTATACATATGCACATGTAATAAACTCTATACATATGCAAACATGATACACTTCATACATATGCACACATGATGCATTCTATACTTATACAAACATGATACACTCAATACATATGCACACATGATATATTCTATACTTACACAAACATGATACACTCAATGCATATGCACAAATTATACATTCTATACATAAACACAATACACTCCATACATATGCACATATGATACACTCTATACATATACACACACGACACACTGATGTCAAGGTCTGGGATAGAACACAGGTCTCTGGCTTCAAAGGTGAGTTGACTTCATACAGATGCACACATGATACACTCCATACGTCTGCACACATGATACATTCTATACATATACACACAATACATTTTATACATATAAACATGTTATGCTCTATACATATGAACACATTATATAGACATACAAACATGATACACTCCATACATGATACATTCTATACATATACAAACATTATACACCAGTGGTTCTCAAACTTTTTCCACCAAGTACCACCTCAGAAAAAATGATCTCTCCAAGTACCACCATAATGACCAGTATTGAAATAAAATAGCATAGTTGGTCAAATTAAGCAGCTACAGCACTGCACAGTTCGAAAACAAGTCAGAGTCATATTCATTTAACGAAATTATATTCCATACAAAATTTGAAGCTTATCAGTCGGTTCTTATGCCGACTCGTAGTGCTGCATTCTGAAAAGTTAAGATGTTTTCAACTAGGGATGCCTGGAACACGCAAGTGCTTCGTGCTGCTTACTCCTTAGTCCTTACAAATTTTGCTAGCCTGCAGGTTAAATTTTGGCACTCAAGTGACTGAGGTGTAACAAGAGAATATGGTCATTTTCCAAATTAAAAGATTTTACAAAATAAATAAAATAATTAATGATTTTTTGTGCAGTCCGGTACCAGTTGATCTATAGACTGGTGCCGGTCTGTGGTCCAAGAGTTGGAGACTACTACTCTAGCACGTACAGTATCTGCTCTGCCAGCACCACGCACCTCTTTCTCTAGTTCAATTGAATAGATTTTTAGCAGCTGATGACGCGATGCACTAAAGTAAACATTCCAAGCACAACGATTTGATCGTAGGCTTTAAGGAACAGACAATACTTATCACATTGGTGTTATTGTATACACATCAAATGATTAAAATTGTTTCATTTGTTACTCATTGATTCCTCCGCGTACCACTAGAAGTAAGCCTGCGTACCACTAGTGGTACACGTACCACAGTTTGAGAACCACTATTATACACTATACAAATGCACACATTATACACTCTATACATATGAACACATGATACACTCCATACATATGCACACATGATAAATTCTATACATAAACATTCTATACATAAACACACAAGATACTGATGTCAAGGTCTGGCGACCCCAGATTAATAAAGGGACTAAGCCGAAAAGGAAATAAATGAGAGAATAATAGTTTATTAACTACAACCAACATGTGGATTTAACCTGCACTGTAATCTGGTGTGAAACCGGACCCCTTGCTTTCAGTATAAATCAAAGACATTTGCCATTTTTAAGAATTAATGAGGGTATTTTTAAACAGAAACTTTGTTAATGTTTAGAAAAAACAACCATTAATGAATTCATGCAATAACAATAGTTTATAGGCTGTGGTTCACATTATTGATCTTTTAGAAATCACAGAATGGGTCAGTTTTGTTATTTCATGTTGTAATGTAGAAAAGAAAAAAAACGGGCAATTAAAAACACACAAATCCTCCAATGTAAAGACTAAAGAGACTGTATTGTCATTGCAGCGATACAACGAAATTCATTTAACGTGGCAGCTCTCAGGAACTGCATTATATAACATATAATTTTATAATAACTATATAATAATTTATAATGCATACAGTGAAATAATTGTGCAGTGCATGTGTATGTACAGTAGCTCGTGTGCAAACAGAAATGTTAAGTATTGCACAAGTTAATAAATCCACATAAATTTCCTCCAAGTTCTCCAGTTTCCCCCACAGTCCAAAGACATGCACTATAAGCCTTTAAGTGAATTGGATTAACTACATTGTCCATAGTGGATGTGTATGAATGAGAGTGTAGGGGTGTTTCCCAGTGATGGGTTGCAGCTGGTAGGGCATCCGATGCGTACAATGTGCTGGATAGGCTGGCGGTTCATTTTGCTGTGGCGACCCCAGATTAATAAAGGGACAAAGCAAAAAAGAAAATAAATGAATGAATGAATAATTAATAATGAATTCTATAAAATGATACATAACACTACACTAGACAAAATATATAGGCCTATTTAGCAGTTTAATAAGAGCAGCTAATCCTACTTTAAAGACTATAAGAACAGTGGTTCTACATTAAAAATACAACAATATAAGTTTAAAATAGCCTATAAACAATAGTGAAGCCAAGAGAAACGTCATGTTTCCTTTTGCCGCCATTCCTTCAGTCCCATTAGTAAAACAAAAATATTGAAATATCATCCTCTATCCTTATTCCTCAAGTCCATGCACCGACAATTAAAATCCCCCAGTACGAGTAATGCCTTCACCTCATCCTGGATTAGAGATTTACTGACCGCTGACACGTGTGGCTCCTCGGTTCTTCCCGTCCCAGATTCCCCGAAAACCTGCAGCCACAACGACAACTAAAAACCCTGAAGAATATCTGAAGAAAACGCGATATCAATGGACCAGAGAGAGGGTCGGCCGCTAAGAGGATCAGTCCAGAAGAGGTGCCAGCTGGAATTAAAGCATTCGTGTACACTGAGAAGTGTCGGCTCATCATTTCAGTAACACCTGTCCCGCTGGACGGACGAGAGCTGACCTTATGAGTGACCACCGGATGGAGGAACATGCCCACAGGTCCAGGTTATGACCACACAAGTGTCCCGCAGTAATGAACTCATCTCCAGCTATGGCACCGTCTTCTCCGGTCTTGTTTTCACCGTCGCTCGCCCGGAGGCCCCCAAGTCCCGGCCGGAGACCCAACACAAATTTCAGATCGGCCTCTCCGTCCATCATGACTTCACCCAAACTGTGGCAGAAAGCCGCGATTTCGCGTTTGGCGGAGGAGTTTTTCTGGATAGGGGGAAGCATCGTCGCCTCACCAAAGTGGAGAATGGGCCAGATTGGTAAGCATTTAGACACTTAAGGGTGCTTAAATTGGATAGTTTACTCAATAAATTGAAACTTCACGTAGCACACACTCTCAAGCGGTACCAGACTTTTAAGAAGATAGCCTACATTGAAGCATGTGACTTGGAAACATCATTGACATCCTTTTAGTTGGAAGAAAATAACTGTCAATGGAAGTCAATGGCAACTGAAAAAACTTTGGAACAAGTGGAGTAGGCTAGGTTAAAAGATAACAGAACATAAAAGATGACAGAATATAAATGTATTGACAGATGACACAATATAATAGCATTGCGTGGTTTAAATCAGCCACTTTCCAGCACTTTTATATTTCCAGAAGTATATAGGCCTATTACTATGTTGAATTTGATGTTTACTGCAGTAATTTGTTAGTTTATGCAGTGTTACTCTGAGTGAACTTGAAATGACTGTGTACTAAATGATTGGCCGGTGTAAGATATGCACCTCACAGCATATGGAAACAAACAATCCCTGGAGATTAGACTGAGTAGCTGCGTCACATGACCCCTCTGTCCTTGATCCGCTCCTCCAAAGCAACGTTTTGAAAACATAGCCTGAAGTGACCGATAAAAGTAACCTTTGTTGACTTCTGGTACATCAACATGTCATTCTGACATTTTAGACGTCAAAAAAGATAATAGCATTTCAACTATATTTGTTGAATTTCAGAACAAGTGAAAACATTGTGGCCAATTGTCCCTTTCTAAAGGAAATTCTCAAAATAACTGTTTCCCATTCACTCACTAACCCTCGGCTTCGTCTCTGTTTTATCAGTGATCGCCACAGTAGATTGAACCAAACATAATAATGACAAATATTAACATTTTACTCAAACCCCTTCCTAAAAGACATAGTAAATCTTCAGTAAATCCTGAAATATTATTAATATTTTGTTGTAATTCAAACAAATTATGTTGCTGAATGTTTAAAAAGACATTGTCCTTGTAAGAAATCATTGTTGTACTTTCCATGATATGTGCCAGGCTGCCAGCACGCAGTAAACACCCTTACTAACCTACGTGTGTGTATGTGTGCCTTGTATTCTTTACGTTGTGGGGACATTTAAAATATATCAATACCAGTACATTTTTGACCTTGTGGGGACATTGTTTTGTCCCCATGTGAAAAAGGGTTCATAAATCACACAGAATGAAGTGTATTAAAAATATAAAAATGCAAATTGTTTCCTGTGAGGGTCAGATTTAAAGGTGGGGTAGGGGTAAGGGGAAAGAATATGCACTTTCTACATAGTAAAAATTGTTACGGCTATGGAACGCTTTAAGTGTATGTGTGTGTGACGCAGCTGGGTAATCTGATTGAGATGGTACTTGATACGTCTGCTTGGACAATTAAACTGACATTTAAAAGGATTTTCTTTTAAAAGTGCACTCCTATTACATTGTAAAAAATGGATGGCTGTTTTGAAGTCAAATTAACTTTACAAATAATTGCTTCTTACTTTACATTAATGACTTAAACACTTAAAAGTTTTATGGCATGTGACTAAAATAATCCTGAAACACGATTAACTTATTTTATTAAGTTAAAGTAAGGCGAAAGCATATGCTTTCATGACATATTATTCATATATTTTTTACAGTGTGTTGATATCACATTTGCAGCCAGATACTACTAATAAAATGCTCTTTCGCAGTGGAGAGATGCATGTGCAACATGCAGGCCGGCTCTCAAATGATCAAACTGAGAGGAAAATCCAAGGCTCTGGTGCGTCTCTTTTATCTAGATGAGCACAAGTCCTGTATCCGCTGGAGGCCTTCAAGGAAACATGAGAGAGCAAAAAGTGAGTGAGATTGAAATCTGTTTATGTGCTGGCAGGATATGTGTCTAGTGCTTATTAAAATAAGTTATGTGATTTAATGGGGCATTGAATATTAGTTTGCAATTCATGTACATGGCTTTTCTTTTAAAAAGTGGAGATGTTTATGGCATATTAGCCTATTGCTCATGGATTACTGCATAAATAAATCCATAAACAAATGCATACATGAATGAATGAAGCAAAAAATTTCTTTGATAAAAGATAGTTTGATAAAACAGTGTGATCATACATAAATTACACTCTCAGAAATAAAGGTATGCAAACTGTCACCGGGGTGGTACCTCTTTAAAAGGTACACATTTGTTCTTAAAGGGTCCATATTGGTACCTCAAATGTATATATTAGTACCTACAAATTTTAAGATGAACACTTTTGTACTTTTTTTAGGTACTAATATGTACCCTAGATGTATTAATATAGACCTTTTGGGTACAAATTTGTTTTTTTTTTGTAAAGATACTACCCTAGTGACAGTTTGCGTACCTTTATTTCTGAGAGTGTATGATAAGAGTTTATGTGTTGAATATTTTGACCTAATCCACATTTGATTACAATTTTATGGGGTTTTTGAATGTTTAAACTTTGTTTTTGTACATTTTTTATGACAAAAATCCAAATAAGTGATGTATAACTATTTATAATATATATAGACATTACTCATTCTTTTAAAAAAATATTAGAAAATAGATTATAAAATGCAGAATATATTTTAGAGTAGAAAATATCACATGACTTCAGTGGATTTGTCACATGATCACATCACACTGCAAGATGGTGAGTGTAAAATAGTTTAACATCACAAAAATATTGACTGATACTATATTTATTGGGTTAAAAGCTTCACATTCTGGTAACTAAAGAGTAAAAGCATGCACATTTCATTGTGGGACACAGTATTCCAACACTGTTTACATAGCTTTTCAATGCACATGGGAAATTCATATAAAGTCTGTTATTAGTTTATTTTGAATTTATCAGTGTTACAAAATTTTCTAGAAAAGAAAGTGTCTTGAAAATATATATTGTAAAATATTATTTACTGTCATCATAGCAAAGATAAAATAAATCATAGATGAGTTATTTAAACTATTTAAACCAATCTTCTTTTGGTTAATCAGAAAGTGGGGGGAAATAAACGGGGGCTAATAATTCAGGGGTTCTAATAATTCTTACTTTAACTGTATAAACCAAAGAACCATTTGTTTTTTTACATTTTAAAGTATATACTCAAAAAAAATCTTATGTGATTATATTTGTCACTTTATGTATGTATGTATGTATGTAATATCAGGACAAATGTATTATTAAAAATGTAAAAATATAAAATACATATTAATAAAACAGCTTTCAAAAGTAATGATTACATGTCCAACATAAAATAAATAAATATATGAAATTAATAAATAAATAGAAATAAATACAATTAATTAATAAAATGCTAAATGTAAACTTTGTACTTTCAGGATTGCAACTTTCTTACAATAGTGTTATTTATATTTATAATATTATATTTACCTATCATATAAATGTTGAAAAAGTATTACTGTAAACGATGTATTTGTGACCACAAAATAAATGATAGAACATAATATGAAACAACAGACTTTTTATTTTGTCCATATTATATACAGTCAAGCCTGAAATTATTCAAACTCCTGGGATATAAATAATTTTGGGCTTGATTGTATATTATTATATTGGAGAGTCACTGAAAACCCCTGAAAAAATGATCAAACTTCCACTGTTCTTGTTTTATTCAGTCACCATAGACTCTATCCATGAGGTCTGTGAAGGAATGAGAACCGAGGTCTTTAGGCGATTTGCCAACAATAACTTTGATCCAAACTGCTGCTTCAGTATTTACCACGGAGACCACGTGGAGTCTCTTGACTTGGTTTCCACCAATGGAGAAGAGGCACGGACCTGGATCACTGGCCTTAAATACCTCCTGGCAGGCATCAGTGACGAGGACAGTCTGGCAAAAAGGCAACGCACACGAGATCAATATCCTTTTAATTGAGGGAGAAGGGCTGTCTGTCATAGAGGCAGACTAAATCCACACACAGCCCCCTCATGTGGCCTGGTTTAGTTTTGTGCAAATTGTTCTGTATTGTGGTGCGGAGGTTTCCTTACAGACTGTTGCAAATGGTTGAGACAGACCTTTTCAGAGGCAGACAAAAATGGAGATGGAAATCTGAGCATTGGAGAAGTCCTGCAGCTGCTTCACAAGCTCAACGTGAACCTCCCAAAGCAGAAAGTCAGAGAAATGTTCCAGGTACATTTCATTATACAACTTGTCAGAATGCATTATGAAAGTAGTCGGGGCAAGAGGTCTTTAAACAAAAAGTGTAAAATGTGATCATGTACGAGAACGAGCAAACTCCCAAAGAAATGTCGACTGGTTTAGTAGGGACTTTAACCAGGGACATTCTTGCTGTGAGGCAACAGTGCTAATCACTGGGTTACTGTGACGCCTATCTAAAAGGAGGGGGAGTAAAGGTGGGTGGGGGGATTTTTTTTTAGACGAAGATTCTAAGATGAGAGACTTTGGTTGTTTATGGTGAGTTAGGAATCATCTGATAGGTGAATCTATCTTAAGCTAATGTAGGACCCGCCGTGAACAATTATAAGCAAGTGATACTCTCGAAATTAGTTTATAAATAAACTTCACGTAGTGTATTTGTGCAGAAATCTAAGTAACAGAAAGAAAAAATTATAATATATCATTCCTTGAGTTGGTTTAAAAACTGAGCAGCTTTATCCTTGTAAACTCTGTTTTTGTTTTAGCATACTGTTTTAAAAATCACAAATATTGGGGGTTGATATGAGTTTTTGATTTTTTTGTTTCTTTCTTGATTTGGCGTTTTTTCAAAGGTTTATTGGTATATAAAAAAGAAAAACATCATCAGTGTCCGCACATCTAGAAAAATCTTAAAGACAGGTGCTCAATCAAGCCAAAAACAGTAGAAAAGGTCAAATAAAATCAGCACACTTCCACTTTAGCTCTCAAAACATACATTTAATTGGACAATAATTCAACCCACATGGTTTTCATCAGGACCTGAGTATTTTTTGAGAGCTAAAGTGGCACGCTGTACCGTGATCATTGCTCAGTGAAGTTGTAGATGATCTTTGAAAGGTGAGTTTTGTGTTTGTTTATTTTAACATCCGGATTCTCTTGTCTTTTGTATATTATTATCCTAAATAACAAAAACCTAAATAGTCGAGTCCATCAAATTTTAGGGTCCTCTTGAAACATTTCCGTTGCGTTCGATGATATTTAAAAATGTAATGAGAAAATTTAGTGCGTTTTCATAAATTGTTTGCTTTGTGTGAAAATGCAGCACGTTTTTAAAAGTGTGTTTAAATTGTGAGGATTTGCAGCATGTGTGCTGTCAAACAGATGAAGATCTTTTCTTAGTTTGCTGGCGTTTTTTTGTAATTGCATGTGTTGCATGTGTTTTCCTAAATTTCAGCACATTTCAGCTCTCTCTGCCACTGTATGTTAAGGATGTCACACTCTCGATTTTCAGTTTGGCACTACAGAAAATAGGGAAACATCAAAGATGCTTTAATATGTTATGTTTATAATAAAACCCTAAAATGTGTTTAGTATAATAAATCAGCATGTTAATAATAATGACCAGAAGAACCAGAAGCTGTTGACTGTGGCATAATAAAAACCCATCAATCTTCAGCAGTTGTTTCAGCAGCTTTGAGCCTCAGGAGCCGATCACACTCAACATGCTTTTTGCATTATTTAAATGGTTAATGGCCGCAAGCATTTTGTGCGTTGCTTATGCGCCCTATTAACCACCTACTGCACCTCATGTTTTTACTTTTGTGGGCTGTGCACTCTCAGTTGAAAAAAATGTCAGCTCTGAGTGGAAAAAGTGCATAACGTCAGTCGCGTCTTTTTCATTCTCCAATCAAATGAAAACAGAGGTGGGTTTCCGTTGACTGCAGTGTTTGTATTGTCAAGATGACTTTGGAGATTTTTAAAGATGCTGTATGACAAATCTTGAATATTACAATATTAACAATAATAGCAATATCAACAGCAACACTCACGCACAATACACTGATTTCGTTGTTGCCCTAGTGACATAAAAATGCACACCAAGATTTTTTTTTGTCAACAAAAAATGCAGTGTGGTTCGCTTCCTGTTTTTAAAAGCCCATTACTTTGCTTCATATTACCAGGAAAATAAGTTTTGAATACTTCATTCATGAACATAATTTTGGCTGGATTCACTCATTTTCTTTTGCAAATACCCACCCTCTAGCTGTAAAAAAAAACAAAACAAAAAAAACACATGCGACTTTGAGCTGTGCTTTCAGAATGTATTATTTTAGGACATTATATAAATTGCATTATATATTTTCTGTCAAGTTTGATCAATTTAATGCACTCAGAATCCCCAAATTTTTGAACAGTGTATGCTTGATCAGTTCAACAGTCTGCATACATATGACATGGCCGCTATTGTGAACAGGTGAACTTAGTAAGCCATGCTAAATAAAATAAAAAAATCTAACATATTCTGCTAACTGGTATTTTTGAAAAGTCTGATTCTGCTGACTTTAAAACCTCAAAGTTGGCTGAAATGTCTTTATTTACTAATGTCCTGTGGCAGGTTATATTGGTTTAAAAGACTTTCTGAGTGCCATTAGATAAGATGCCAATGAGTGTTCTAAGTGAGTATGTAACATATGGTTCGCTCTGAACAGATGGCCTTGTCTGAAACTGGTTGAGGTCTTAGTTTTAGTGTCTCTAATCCTTAATGGAGACATACATTTCTACTGCAACAAATACCATGACACTACTTTCACTAAAAGTACAAGCGAAACATTGAATTAAATAAAAAAAACCTCAACACATGCTAAGTGTCTGTCAGTGTCAATCTGTTAATGTTTGCAAAAATCGATAATTTTTTTTTATGCTTCACTTCACTTGACTTCACTAGATATGTATTATATTACTGCCAACTGCAGTCAAGCTTTTCCTGAAAAGGCCTTTCAGACTATTAGGGATCAGTTTCTATTAAACTATGCATAAAATATTGAAGGCCAAATCATTTTTGTAATCAGGATTTGTAATATGCATCCATCAAGGTTTTTATGGTTTTGCATTTTTCATTTAGTTTTTAGTTCAGTGCTTTTTAAAAATTTGCTGTAAAAAAGGAACTGACCCGGCTATTTAGGTTATGGTTTATTCAATCAATCATTTTCTTTTCAGCTTAGTCCCTATATTAATCTGGGGTCGCCACAGCGGAATGAACCACCAACTTATCCAGCAAGTTCTACGCAGCGAATGCCCTTCCAGCTGCAACCCATCCCAGGGAAACATCCACACACACTCATTCACACACTTATACACTAAGAACAATTTAACCTACCCAATTCACCTGTACCGCATGTCTTTGGACTGTGGGGGAAACCGGAGTACCCGGAGGAAACCCACGTGAACGCAGGGAGAACATGCAAACTCCACACAGAAACACCAACTGACCCAGCCGAGGCTCGAACCAGTGACCGTCTTGCTGTGAGGCGACAGCCCTACCTACTGCGCCACTTCGTCAACCTAGGTTATTTAGGGTAATAAAATACAAAAAAGACAAGGGAATCAGAATGTTAATATAAAGTGTCATCAAGTACTTTACTAAACAGCCGTTAATTTTCCGACACAGAATGAGTGCTTTATAATTCTGAACACAATTATTATTTTTGAGAATTGTTATTTTATTTCTGTTGGCTTTTTTCAGTTACTGTTGTACTGTAGTTTATCATTTATTATGAATTCTTTATTTTATTTCAGTTAAAAAAAAATGTTTTGACCAATAGTGTGTCTTTTAGTTCTCGTATACTAAAATAACCTTGATAAGATTTCTCCCAGAATGTTTTTGATTATCTGTATGGACCAAATTGACTCTAAATTAGCATTGCAAAATCCTCAAGTTTATTGCAGATTAATACAAGCATGTTTCACATGCAGCTTTATTTTAAGAAAATAGTCAGCAGGCAGGATTAAAAACAGGAACAAAACAAATTGCAAAGGCAATGCAAAAGAGTAATCCAAGAGACAGGCAAATGTCAGGGCAGGCAGAAAAACTGTCACAATCCAAGAATCAAAAGTCAGACAGACCAAAACCTAGGAACAAAGACATTGAACAATACTGAGCAAGGAATGAATGCCTCTATGGTGCTTAAGTAGTCCATGTAGTACATGTAATTGATTTTTGATCAGCTACCAGCTGTGTGTGTAATCATTGGAGATTTGGAAAAAGGAGTGTGCGAGGTGCTTGATGGGAAATGTAGTTCATAAAGTAACACAATTGTAGTCGGTACACATCGATCACACACTGATCGTGACACATATAACTACACTGTAAAAATTACAGACAATTCCTTCATGTTGTGCCAACACAAAATGATTAGGTTAACTTAAATGTTTTTTCCTTTACAAATTTAAGTGGATTGAGCATAAAACAATTAAGTTGTCCCCCCAAAAAACTTTACAATTGTGTTGGTTCAACTCATATTAAATAAGTAGTTTGAACAAGCAGCAAAAGTCTTTTCAGATGCCCAGTCAGCTTGTGTTCGTGGACTGGCTTTGACAGTTACAATATACGGCAGATGGCTTTTTAACCCTTATACAAAAATGCACATTACATTTTATGAAATATGTGTGAAGTTAAGCTTCCATAAATGTGCATTCACAGGAGGCTGACACTGATGAAAACCAGGGGTCATTGACATTTGAGGAATTCTGCACCTTTTACAAACTGATCTCAACACGACGAGATCTTTATTTACTGATGATCAGCTACAGCAACCACAAAGAGCACCTGGACCTGAACGACCTGCAGCGCTTCTTAGAAAGCGAGCAAAAGGCTGGTGTGATTCATTTTGCGTACCGCCACACAGTTATTTGTTAAATATAATGCCACTTGAACTGTCCTTTTTATAATTGCTGATATGCTTTTTTTCTTCTAGATGGTAAATGTGACCAAAGAATACTGCAAAATGATCATTAACCAGTTTGAGCCATGTTCTCAAAACCAAAGTCATGTGGTGCTGGGTATTGATGGTATGAGACTCTTCCTCAGCTACATCTGTGCAGTATCACCAACCTGATTTCACCAAGGGGACATATTCCTGGATTAACATCTATGTTGATCCTGAAACAACATTCCAATCAGCCAATCAGAATGAAGGGACACATTTACCACTTATGTTAAGTATAGATCCACGGTTAGGTTTACGCGCTTCTACATGATTGTTGTAAACACTGATTATATGAATATTTACAGTTATGGTTGGGTTTAGGGATAGAGAATAGGTATGGGATGCATTTTCAAACAAAAATTATGCTCCTGGATCAACATAGATGTTACTCCAGGATCACATCAGACTTGGCAATATCATGATGTGCGTTTAGTATTCATAAAACTTGATCTTGAGCTTTTCTTTTTCTTTCATTCTAAGGTTTCACCAACTACATGCGCAGTCCTGCAGGAGACATTTTTAACCCAGAACACTACCAAGTAAATCAGGACATGACCCAGCCGCTTACAAATTACTACATCGCGTCTTCGCACAACACTTACCTGACTGGAGATCAGCTGCTGTCTCAGTCTCGGGTTGACATGTATGCATATGTGCTTCAGATGGGCTGTCGCTGTGTGGAAGGTAGGAAAAACATTTTTTAAAGTGTAGCATTCATTTTTACAGTCATTAAACGGAATATTAGGGCTCTGCGGTACTGGGAAAAAAGTGACATTTCAATCTAGTGTTGCCAGATAGGGCAGTTTTCCGTCCGATTGGGTAGTTTTGACAAAATATTATTGGTTTTGTTACGTAAATTTTAAATGCTACTTATTTAACAACACATAATTGTGTGCTACTAATGCAATGTGACCAGTGACCAGTAGTGACCAGTGCATAACACAAACCCCGTTGGCCCACCTGCAAGAGGAGGTGAAGGAAAGTTGTATTAAAATAATAAAATCTGACTCAGTCAGCAAAAATAAACATAGAAGCGCTGTCTGATTGACAAGCGCCTAAAAATGTTCAAAAGAATTTAAAACACCAAATGGGACGATTTTTACCCCATTTCCAAAGGTAAAACATACTCTAACAGGTAGTATAAAATCGGCACAACATTAAGGTTAAAAAATATGACTGTTAAAGTAACTAGGTTAATAAAAAAAAATCTAATATTTTGGGTGTTTCTTGTGCATTTGAGTGGGTTTTGGACAGCTTTTGGGCTGGAAAAAGTCTGCTATATCTGGCAACACTGGTTTTAATGCTTTGTTGTTTTGCTAAATATATTGTGATATGAATATCATTTCAAGAGTTCACACTTAGCTTATGATTTATACATAAGCATACATATACATATACATATACATATACATAGCTTGTTTGGCATGCTGTCCCGGGAGAGAGCCCTGAGCTCAAGGGATCCTCGAGCCCAGGGCTCCCCCCCTTTTGCAGGGCGAGTGGAGATTGAGCTCAGGTCTATCTCAAACTCCCCCGCTGCTGAGGCCAAGGCGAACTTCCTGAGAGTAAGACATTATAAAAAAGGTTTAGGCTTGTTTTATCTATAATATAGAGCACATTTGGATGGTGGGAGGAAACCGGGGAACCCGGGGGAAACCCACGCGGACACGGGGAGAACATGCAAACTCCACACAGAAATACCAGATGGCTTAGCGAGGACCCAACACCATTGGTATTCTTGCTGTGAGGCAACAGTGCTAGTCACTGGGCCACCGTGCCGCCCATTCTGGATAAAGGAGGAAGAAGGGGAGGAGGGGGGGTTTCTTCCAGACGAAGATAGTTGTAGAAAGGAAATGAGGATATATATAGTGATTTGGGATCCTTCGATTGGAGGATCATAATTAGTTAATGTGGACCAGCTGGGTAAATTATGAGCACATGCTCCTCTCGAAATTAGTTTAAAACTAAACTTCACTTCAACAGATGACTTAGTTCAAGTTCAACATTACTTAGTTTAGTAGTTCATAACTTTATAGAATATTCATAACTTATAGAATTCATAACTTTATAATGGTAGGAATGATTTCTCAGGACAGTTCATCTGCATAAATGAAACAAACAGTGTTTTGTGGTTTTGTGGAGAGTCTAACTGTATACAGGTACGGAAATCAAATAATCTATTCAGTTCAATTCAATTCATCTTTATTTCTATAGCGCTTTTACAATGTAGATTGTCAAAGCAGCTTAACATAGAAGTTTTTGTAAACTTAAACTAGGTCAGTCCAGTTTTGAGTTGAAGTTCAGTTTAGTTCAGTTCAGTGGGGTTTAATTTTCACTGCTGAGTCCAAACACTGAAAAGCTAATCCATCAATGCGCAGCTCCACAAGTCTCGAACCAAGCAAGCCACTGGCGACTGCATAGTCTTCATTGTATAAAAAACAAATACAATTAATTTTTGTTAAAACCACAAATGTTGCAATTTCTTATAAAAAATGATCCAACTGCTCTTAAAATCTTACATCTTACAGGGATAGTTCACTCTAAAATGATAATTTACCCACGATTCATGTGGTTTCAAACCTTTATGAGTTTTTTATGTCTAATATATAATAAAATATCTTGAAGAAAGCTGAAAACCTATAACCACTGACATCTATATTAGGAAAAGTAAATGGATACAGCTTTTAAAATATCGTTTTTTGTGCATAACTAAAGAAAGAAACGCAAACAGGTTTGGAACAAGTGAAAGATGACTAGTAAATGATGACAGGATTTTAAGGGAACTATTACCTTAGAAACAAAGTAATTAAGCAAATGGAAAACTGTCTCTTAAGGTTAAACATGTATCACACTGTGATTTCCGGTGAACTATGATCCCACCAAAATTAAATTAAAAACTGAACTTAAACACATTGTACATCCTGCGATGTGACTATTGCTGATATATTGTGCAGCCCTATTGAATATGTTATCACACAGCTGACACTGTCTGTATTTTCTGTCTAGTTGACTGCTGGGATGGTCCTGATGGTGAACCTATTGTGCATCATGGATACACGCTTACCTCAAAAATCCTCTTTAAGGATGTTGTTGAGACAATCAACAAATACGCATTTGCCAAAACTCAGTGAGTGACAAATGTGAGCCTGGACCACAAAACCAGTGATAAGTGTCAATTTTTTCAAACTAAGATTTATACATGATCTGAAAGCTTAAAAATATAAACTTTCCATTGATGTTTGTTAGGATAGGATAGTTTTTGACTGAGAAACCTATATAACTAGTCTGAGGATTCAAAACAATCAATTATTTAAATGAACTTCTTAGCAATGCATATTACTAACCAAAAATTGAGTTTTGATTTTTTAGTGATATATATCTTCGTGGAACATGTTTTTTGCAAAATATTCCAATGATTTTTGGAAAAATAGATCATTTGACTCATACAATGTATTTTTTGTTATTGCCATTGCAACAAAAGGCTGGTTTTATGGTCCAGGGACACATATATAAATATTTTAATTGTCATACAATGTGTTTTTTGTAATTAGAACAGGTCAAAAAAATATTATATTTCTGACTAAGTTTCATCTTTCGACAAGCCCAGAATCCCATGATTTTTAGAATTACAGTAATTTTAGTAATACAGTAGTTTATTTTGATACAATTAAATATAGAGTATTTTATTTTGATGCATGGTAATCCTGCTGTATTTTTGTAGCTTATTTTAATACAATGAAATTTATAGCATTTTATTTTGATAGATGGTATGTCTGCTGTATGTTGTGGGTTATTGTGATATATTATTGTGATATATAAACGTAAGTAATTTGGTATTTTATTTAAAAATACATTTTGATGTAATTTTGCCCAACCCTGCCTGTAATCCGTCATATTTATTTACATATATTCTTTAAAGGGCACTTATTTTACCCCTTTTTTCAAGATGTAAGATAAGCCTATGGTGTCTCCAGAATGTGTTTGTGTTTCAGCTCAAAATACCCATCAGATTATTTATTGTAGCCTCCAGAAACTGCCCTTTTTGGAGTCTGAGTATACTGTAGCTGTTTTTGTAGCCTTTGGATTTAAATGAAAATGAGCTGCTTTGCCCCGCCCACTACTCCGACCTGCGTGTCTGCTTCCCATCATGCAATAGATAAACTGTGCTAGTGACAGAGACAGACTCGGATGATGCTAAAATACAGCAAAAAAAAACCCAAAAAAAACAAGTAAGTTTATTCCATGTATTTGTGGTGGAGATTATTCAAGTCTTTCTGACATGATGAGTCTCACAAAAATGTTTGCAGTACATACACACAGACAGAATCTTTATTACAAACATGCTCTGTTTTTAAAATTCCAGAGAGTTGTAATAGATATTTTAATCCCAGCTTTTTGCAAAAAATGTTCTGTTGTGTATACAGGTAATTATAGAAACCTGGCGCCTGTGAATCAATTTAGTGGGTGGTGAAAACAACACTTTCACGTCAAGTTGTGGTGGACCTCAAAATCACTGGGTTTTGGGTCCTATTTTAACATCAGAAAATGTAAAAAAGAGACTTGTTGGGCTTATACCACTCCAGTATGACTGTGTTAACACCATGCCTACACACAGTTCTGTCCAAACAGCTTACAAAAGTTGATTTTCATTATAGGTGTCCTTTAAGGCAATTTCTATACCAAAGAGTTTAAACAACCCCCCCAGCCCCCCCCTCCCCCCCATATAACAGAATATAATATAATGTTTTTCTTATGATGACTATAATCTATAATCAATTGTTATCCACTCTCAGATTCCCAGTGATACTCTCTATAGAGAACCACTGCACTGTGCCTCAGCAGAAGAAAATGGCTCAATACCTCATGGAAGTGCTACAGGACAAAGTGGACCTGTCAAACATAAACACAAACGAGTCCAGACGTCTGCCATCTCCAGAGGATTTGAAAGGCAAAATACTTGTCAAGGTGAGACAATATGTTTTAACGGGTTATGAAAAACACTGAGTGCATTTGAGAGCACAACAATTTAGTGTACCAAGCTGCTTTCCAGGGCAAGAAACTGCCAGCAAACATTGACGCTGATGCTGATGAAGGGGACGTGTCTGATGAAGACAGCGGAGAAGAGGATGAGGAGGAAGAGCTGCAACTTAATGGAGATGTGAGATGCTTCCTACTTTTATAATCACTTTATGTCCTACCTGGAGTGTCTACATGAAAAAATGTCTGTGTCTATTTTCCTAACATTTTCAAGAATATGTCAAAAGCCAAAAGATCCAGATCCCTTTATCGCAGTTCTAGGCATTACTGATTTTGAGATAGCTAAAAACTGTACAGAACAAAATACAGTTCCATTTGTCAGTCTACAAGCATGAAGGTTAATATTATTAAACAGGAAACAGAAAGCTGCTCCTACATACAGTTGAAGTCAGAATTATTATTTTTAGCCCTGCTAAAATATTAGCCCCCCTGAATATTTTTACCCCAATTTATGTTTAACAGAAAGAAGTTTTTTTTTTTTCAGCACATTTTGCTTAAGGGGGCTAATAATTTTGACCTTGAATGGTTTAAAAAAATTAAACACTGCTTTTATTCTAGCCAAAATAAAAAAAAGACTCTCCAGAAGAAAAGATATTATAGGAAATACTGTGAAAAATTCCTTGCTCTGTTAAACATAATTTGGGAATTTAAAAAGGATTAAAAAAATCTTAGGAGGGCGATTAATTTTGACTTCAACTGTATATATATCTAATGAGGGATGTAGTGAAACATTTGGAAATGGAGAAAATCAGATTCTCCTTAAAAAAGGAACCAGACAAATTTGATAAAATCTGGCAACAAAAATTCTACAAGAAAGAGTTCAATTGAAGAGGATTAGATTCATTTCGATTAAAACAGAAGGTCAGTATTTTTTTTTTTTATTCATTTACTCTTTTTTTGTATTTATTTATTTATTCATTTATTTATTTTTTTTACTATTTACATATTGTATTTATCTCTTAACATTTTACTTTCTTATGTATTGTTTGAATATTGTATCTTTTATTGTTAAATGTTGTGTAAATCTGTTTGTTGGACTAAATTTGTAAGTCATTGAGTTTGAATGTGTGAAGAAAGCTCTAAAAAAGGTTTGTGTTCTGGGTTACAGACCACAGAAGGAGCGCCAGAGTCTGCATCGGCAGATGAATCAAAGAAACGCTCACGGAGGAAGTTCATGGGCAGCTTCAGGCGCAAGGTCTGCAAATGGCTTTAGACCAGTGAAATTGGGTAAAAGAAATGAAGAAAAGCATTTTGAGGTTTCTACATCTGTGTTTCAGAAGAAAAAACAGGTCAAGGTAAAAAAGAAACCCATCGTGAGTGACTCTGATACTGAACCAGAGATCACAAGCACTAACGATAAACAGGTCATCAACTATGGCAAGTGAGTATTGCAAGAAATACAAAATATACAGTTGAAAACTAAATTTCTGGCCTTCCTATGATTTGTGATGGTTAACAGAGAAGGGACATTTTCACAGTATTTACTATTATATTTTTTCTTCTGGAGTAAGTCTTATTTCTTTTAGTTTGGTTGGAGGTATGAAAGTTTTCTCATATATTTTTAAGGTCCATATTTTTAGCAAAACAAATTGGTGTTGTCCAATGACTTGCCTAATTAATCTAACTTTTCTATTTAACCTAACTAACCTAATTAAGTTTTTAATTGGCACTTTGAGCTGAATACTGTTATCTTGCAAAATAACTAATAAAATATGAGCTGTCATCATGGCAAAGACAAAATAAATAAGTTATTGGAAATGATTGTGTTTTAAATGTGTGGCAAAATCTCTCCATTAAACAGCACTTGAGAAATAATTAGAAAATAATACAAATCTCACAAGAGAGCTATTAATATTGATTTCAACTGCAAAATATATATTACAATGAATAAATGTAAAATATTTTTGCATTTACAGTAAAGTTTGTTGTAAAATTCAAAAATATGAAAAATAATATAAAAATTAAAAATACACTTCTTGTTTTGATAAATTAACATGCAATGTGATGTAATGTAATGTGTATTTATATAGTGCAGTTATCGTGTATGGCCATACACCCAAAGCGCTTCACAGTCATGAGAGGGGTCTCTCCATACCACCACCAGTGAGCAGCATCCACTCAGATGTTTTATATTTTAACTAAATAAAATTAAGAAATATTTTATTGTTAACTAACAATATTGTTATCAAAAACTAAAATAAATAAGCATGATATATTTGTTACTTTAAATAAAATCAATATATATATATATATATATATATATATATATATATATATATATATATATATATTAATTATATATATGTAATGTATTATATAAATAATATAAATATTTTATTTGCTTATTTAGGTTTTATTTTATACGTGATGCAGCACATAATTATAGTGAAATTTAGCATTAATTGTGTTTTAGTATGCTATTAGTCCTGTTATATCTAATATACTTTGTTCTGTATATGCTCAGGTATCTTAACCAACTTACATTTTTTATGTTTTGATTTATACATTTTACACTTTAACATACACATTTTTATAATCTGTAAAATGTTACCGTGCACATCTGTGATGCTCCATGTTTTACATAAATGTTTGCAGACGAAGAAAAACCATGCGACTTTCTCGTGCCCTCTCTGATCTGGTCAAATACACCAAGTCAGTGCGTGTTCATGATATCGAAACGCAAGGTAAGACAAATCTAATAAATTGACAGAAAAAACTGAAAAAAGTCTCGGTTTTGACAAAAATGTGATTTGTGTTTCAGCATATATGTCCAGCTGGCAAGTGTCCTCCTTAAACGAAAGCATAACCAATCAGATTCTCCAGCTGAAGCCTGCGCAGTTAGTTCGATTCAATCAACGGCAACTTTTACGAGTTTATCCCTCCAACTACCGTGTGGATTCAAGTAACTTCAATCCTCAGCCTTTCTGGAACGCAGGATGCCATTTAGGTTGGAATGAGCTCTTTCTATCATTTATTATAAATGATTTCCTATCTGCACCCATATAAAAAATGATACATGGAAATATAAGTAATTTATGTGTATGAGGATTTAACTAATAATAATAATAATAAAAATCATATATCCAACATATGTTTTGAAAATTTCGAAAAAGGCTGCTTGCATATTTTTTGAACCATTGTAATTACAAATATGTACATATATTATTATATATTTTCAAATATGTACATATATTATTATATATTTTCAAATATGTACATATATTATTATATATTTTCAAATATGTACATATATTATTATATATTTTTAAATATGTACATATATTATTAGATATTTTCAAATATGTACATATGTTATTATATATTTTCAAATATGTACATATATTATTAGATATTTTCAAATATGCACATATATTATTAGATATTTTTAAATATGTACATATATTATTAGATATTTTCAAATATGTACATATATTATTATATATTTTCAAATATGTACATATATTATGTATTAGATATACTTATATAGACAAGTGGTATGAACAAATATTTGCCCCCATGCTAATTTCTTATTTATTTAATTGTTTGTCACAGTTTAATGATTCAGATCATCATATAAATTTTAATATTAGTCAGTGATAACACAAGTAAACACATCATGCAGTTTTGAAATTTTTTTTATTATTAAGGGAAAACAAAATGAAAAATTAAGTGCTATAACCGAAAATAGGAGTTGTATAAACAAACATAGAAACAAACAAGTATTTCTAACAAAGTGCCTGGTATATTAAGTCAGGAAGAGTGGTTTGTCAAGCCCACTCACCTGCATGGAGCAGTTATGTGATGCACTGTGTGTATGCTTAACTAAAAGGTCTTTAATCTTGTTTTGAACTGAGAGAGTGTGTCTAAGCCTCGGACATTATAAGGAAGGCTATTGCAAAGCTTAGGAGCCATAAATGAGACGGCTCGACCTTCTTTAGTGGACTTGTTTATGTTTCTATGGCCATATATGATGCCAACCACAGAGCACTTCTAGAGGTATCCATAATTCTGGACCAGGTCGTATCTTGAGCAGATGCTGTGGCAGTCATGGAGGAGTGGAGAGCATAAGACCACAGTGACACATGAGACCACAGTGACAGACAAGTTTTTGCATTGATCTCGTGGGCCAGCCTGAACACCCGGCGGTGACCTACTCACAACTGCCGATTCTCCTTAATGGATGTCCAATATTCTTCAGCCTCCGGCACCTAGAAAAGAGCTCTACACAAGAAGCTTGGCCAGAGGAGAAATAGTCGTGTCCAACTGAGCCTAGTTTCTCTAGAGTTTTTTTTTTTCTTCACTTTCGTCAATTGGTGAAGTTTTTTCCTCGCCACTGTCACCACTGGCTTGCATGGTTTTGGATTTGTGGAGCTACACATCTTAGAAAGGATTAGATGGATTTGCCCTTTGGTATTTGTACTAGAGATCTGTGTGGGACTAAATTTTGAATTCACACATTCATACTCATTCTCTCATTCACACACATACATACGCGTGCATGCTCGCTCGGGAGTCGAGACCGATTTTGTTAGACCGCCCGCTCCCGGTTTAATTACACCAGTTACCAACCGATCCAGCGATTTATTCTGAAATTTATTCCCATGTTGCAAGAAATCTGGTAGGGTCCCACGGCTCCCACGGTACAGACGTGGGAATGCAGACCTCTACTTTAAACTGAACTGAACTAAACTGAACTTCAAATCTAAAAAAACTGGACTGACACAGCATTAATTTACTAGAACTTCTATGTTAAGCTGCTTTGACACAATCTACATTGTAAAAGCGCTATAGAAATAAAGAATAATTTAATTAAATTAAATATATTTACACATATATACAATTGTAGTTATATATAGCTAATATATATTAGATTTTATATGTGGACTCGAAATATGACTTTTTATGTCCTTCAAGTAATTTGCATAAACTGCAACATATCAGCTTTCTATGTGTGTGCTTATAATCAAAGCCTATTTCTTTAAATTAAGAGTGAAACTGTGATGACTTTGATTTTTAACGCCGATGGAGAATCACCACTGGCAAAAATGGCTTTCTGCCTCCTTTACATCAGAGTGGTGGCGTGCTTTTGTTTGAAATGTTGTTTCATCTTTGCAGTCGCTCTCAACTATCAAACAGAAGGCCGTATGCTGCAGCTGAACAGGGCCAAATTTGCGGCGAATGGAAACTGCGGCTATGTGCTGAAGCCAAAATGCATGTGTAAAGGTAAGACGGCCTCTCTGGGTGTTTGATGCTGTATTTTCTTTGAAATGTAATTTTCACCACACATAATGGTTGTCCTCAGGTGCCTTTAATCCAGTGCTGGAAGACCCTTTGCCTGGACACAGGAAATCTCAGCTAGTGCTCAAGATTATTAGTGGCCAGCAGCTGCCCAAGCCAAAAGACTCTATGTTAGGGGACAGAGGAGAGGTGAGTGCACTTACATGGAAATAAAAAGAGGAAATGATACATGACAAGCAGTCTGAGATTGAATGTTTCGCTGTTCAGATCATAGATCCCTTTGTTGAAGTGGAGATTATTGGATTGCCCATTGATTGCAATAAACAACAGACAAGAGTAGTGGATGACAATGGTAAGTACTAAGATAGATTGTGCTAACACAGCTTGCAGTTACTTTAGTGGTCCCTGTAAAATGATTGTGGTATAATTTGTTTTGCAGAATGCATATTTGAGTTTTGTAATGTTGTTATTTAACCCTCTGGTAGTCTTCAGTCATTTTAGACCAAAATAAATATAATTTTAACATTTAAAAAATCTGAATTACAGGAATTGTCTGAAACTCCTTGACTTTGCTGGCATTTGTTATGTGAACACACTAAACTTGAGGTCATGATTTAAACATGCTAAATGGTTGTTAAAAAAAATAGTGGGTAGCAGTGCATAGCACTATCATCTCACAGCAAGAAGGTCGCTGGTTCGAGCCTCGGCTGGATCAGTTGGCAATTCTCTGTGGAGATGGCATGTTCTTCCCCGTGTTGGCATGGGTTTCTTCTGAGTGTTCCGGTTTCCTCCACAGCCCAAAGACATGCGCTATAGGTAGATTGAATAAGCTAAATTGGCTGTAGTGTATAAGTGTTAATGTAAGAGTCTATGGGTGTTTCCCAGTGCTGGGTTGCAGCTGGAAGGGCACCCACTGCGTAAAACATATGCCAGATAATTTGGCGGTTCATTCTGCTGTGGCGAGCCCTGATTAATAAAGGGACTAAGCCGAAAAGAAAATGAATGAATAAAAATTACAAAACTTACATTGTTTTTAATGAAAAAAATGGATATTAATTACTGCATAAGTATGAATTATGACCTCAAATCTCTAAAAATTCTAAATGATTAAAAAAAATATTGAACAAAAAATAAATTTGATTGGTTTAGCTAAAAAAAAAACAGAGGATACTTTACAGGCATTCGTTCCTTTTTGACCGGCTAAAACCACAAGTGTGATTCCCAAAAAAGGAACAGCAGAGGGTTAAATATGCGATAGTCATATGTCTTTGATCACACTTGTGAAGCGCTGTATCAAATTAAAAGATATTATTTTACATGTAAGTCCATTGAAAGATTTAATATTAGAATTTTGTCGCTGCACTGGGATCCTTGGAGTCTTTTAATAAAAGATTAATATAACAAAATAAAAAATGTTGTTATAAATATGACTAACGCTATTTATGCTGTATGAAATATTGTTAGACTAAAATGTCAAGCTGTAATTTATTACTCAGGAAAAATGAATCAGATCTCATTATATTGTACATCAATGTAAATTTAAATTAACTGTGATTAATTAAATACTAAATAATATACATTATATTTATTCTCCTATACATTTATCTTGAAATATTTGTGAAAGTTCAATAAACAGATATTTACACACATTGTATTATGTTGTCTAAATGATATCTTTTTTTATATGTATTGTAGTAAGTTACTGGTTCAATTGTAAAATGTTTATGTTTTAATGCCATATGATCAGGTTTTAACCCCACGTGGGAGGAGACTCTAGTGTTTACGCTGCACATGCCTCAGATTGCCTTAGTACGCTTTATGGTTTGGGACCACGATCCAATTGGACGAGACTTTATTGGACAGCGAACTATATCGTTTAAAAGCATGATGCCAGGTAATTACATGTCAATCCAGAGACATTATTGGATAGGCAAAATACAGTATAATTCAATCACTCAGCCTTATATTATTTTCTTGATCCACAGGTTATCGACATGTCTATTTAGAAGGCATGGAAGAAGCGTCAATATTTGTTCATGTTGCTGTTAATGACATCACAGGAAAGGTAACACTCTGTTATACTAGAGAGGAGGGATGAGTCTGATTGGTCAATGAATGTTCTATGATGTGCAGTCTTTTTTTGGAAAACACATTGCTTAAGCAGTTTTATGGATGTTTTCACTGCATCACAATTTTTTTTATGTCATTACGACAAAATAATAAAACCCCACAAGGACAAAGAGCAAGCAAGCTAATGTAACAAAGGCAGGACATATGTGATGAACTATATGCTTCATTTTCAGTGAAATTTCTTTTTGTTTTCATGAAAAGGGCATATTTTCTTTCTCCTCACTCTCTCACAAACACAGAAAAATATGCATGCTCACAGAATTGTATTGTCAGTGCTGCACAGAAAATTAATCAGTATAATAGTGGCGCCCCCTAGCAGCAGTGAACATGTGAGATATTTTTCCAATAACTTGTTTTCTGAATTTTTTTTTCTATAAAGGTCAAACGTTAGTTTTATTTGGGTGAAAATGTATTACAAGTTTGCAGAAATAAATAAACAATTAGTTTATAACTAATTTTATAACTATATATAAACTGTGGAAGCAGTTTAATGTTAAAATTGAAATTATAGATTGCCGATTTGTTTAACTGGAGCTAAAAATTGGCCTATATTGTACATCACTAATACTAATAACAGCGTTATTCTGTATATTAAGTCTTCATTGCTACATTATAAGTTGTATAATGTAAATGTATGTAATTTTCACCACTAGAGGGAGCACATTTACAACAAACAAAGGCGTAGTTTAATTGTCATGGGAGTTGTCAGCTGCATCTGATTCTATTATTACTGTTTGATGAGTCTCCCTATACAATTTGATAGAGTGCTTGGACCCGGAAGCTGCTTCATGTGGCGTCGCACTTAACAAGCGGATAGACCTTTTTCATAAAAAATTACCCATTATGTTTTGCGTGTATGCGTAAGGAGCATGCTAAGAACGTCTGATCAGCAAATTAATGCGTATAAACAGTCACATTTGGACAGCTTTGAATTTATAGTTTTTATCTATTTTACTTGCTTTTAATGTCTTTCAAATAATACTGCTGTCGATCAGCGCCACCTATATGATCTAATAGGAATTCAAAACAACCGCTGTGAATCATTTACTCTTTAGGTCAGACAACATATTCTGCCCTTTAAAGTGATCATTTACTTGGAAATTGCATGCCTTTACTTACTTAACATACCTTACATACCTGTTAAGTTTAATGAAATTAATATAATTTGCTCTATAATGCAGTGTTGTATTGCATGTGATGTCTGTCTTTGCATTGAAGAGCCTGCTGAGCGCAGTATACCAGCTAACACGTCGGGTACAGACGCTATATTTGAGCATCTTATCTGACGGCAGACTCTCGCGCTTGAACCACATCTGAAAGATGTATAACGGCTTTAACACACACCTTTCAAAACTGTCAAAGTTGTGAATCACAAAAACACTCCTTAAGCTACTCAAAATGGTTTTGACAACCATTTTCGGATTAAGATTAACAAGTTGTAAACGCTCTAAATGGAAATTCTAAGCATCCTACTGGAATACGCTGCTATGGTGCCCTCCATGCAGCAACCATGAAAAATGTCTATAATATCTGAATATAGTCTCCTCACTAATTGTTTTATTTTATAGCAATGAATTGAATAAATGAATGAAAATAAAATGACAACATTCGTTAAATTCAACTATTGTCAGTGTTTAAGTTAGTTAATATAAGCTTTTATTGATCACCATTAATTATTTTGGATCTATTCATGACCAGGTCAAATCAAGCAATGCAGTGAAGCAGCTAATCCAGAAAAACCTTATGCAGACCTCTGAAGATGGCACACGAAAGTCTTTCGCTCCAAACTTCCTCCGGAAAAGTGGGAAGAACCAATCGAAAGTGGTGAAGGTCGAATGCTACACCAAAGAGGACTTTCTCAACAGACGTTACAGTGATGATGTGAGCTCGAAGGACAGCAGGAGCACCTCCCAGTCTGCATCTTTACTCAGAGGAGCTCAAAGCGAACCCCTCAAAAGAGCCCATAGGGTCAGTTTTCAGGAGCCAGAAGGATCTCATGAGCCGCGGCGCCGCCTCTCCTCCATCCCATACACTGGTGGAGCAGCGGTGGACTACACCAACTTAGCATTCGACTCACACAGCAGCTCCGAACTGGACATTCAGACTTTTTCACACCTTGAGGACAACACAGAGTCAAAACAAAATGATTCTCTTTCATCTAAACTAGAGTTTGAGTCTACAGACATACCGAAGAGCCCCGCTTCAACACTCAATGAACAGTGCTTGTCCAGGCAGATCTCAGCAGCTAATGAACATTCAGAACAAAAACCTGAGATGTCCAAAATGATCCATTCAGTACCTGACCCCTTGAATTTCCACCCAATACCTGATGGAGTACTAGATCCTTCTAGGGGAACATTAAACACGTTGGTGCCCCAGAATAAATTCAGATCTTCTCTAGATGCTAGGCTTAACCCTCGGTGGCAGCCGTTGTCAATCCCAGCGACCCCAGCACTAAACAGACGCATGAATGATAAAGGCACGCCAAATTCCCTATTGAAAGGATGCAGATCACAAAGCGTGCCAAGACGGCGTCCCACCTCTCCTCCAAATACCCCTGGTCACATAAGGAGAGACCCCATCAACCAGTATTTTCTCCCACAGTGCAGTTACACCACAGCAAACGACCTCGTTCCTAATAATCACAACATCGCAGAGAGTGAATCAAGCAGCCTAAGTAGTTTGGACAGCCTTGACCTGAGTACTCTGCCATGCCGTTTCCCTGACAACCAGCAGCAGACAATGGGCACACTGCAGAGGGAAATGAATGCCCTGTTTGAGCAGAAAATACAGGAGATTCGCTGCCATTCGCCACTGTTTTTCAGAGGTAAGGAGAAAAGTGCCAAATGCTGTTTCTAAATTATTGGATTTGAAATAAATGTAGATTTTATGTTAATGCTTATTTTTTGTGTTTAATACGTTTAGAGCACTTTTTAAAAATGTTGGTCTTATTGTTTTGTTTTAGATTCTTCAACATTGTAGAAAAAAATGCACTTGAAAGCATACAGAATAAAGATGAATTCTACACCACAGCTACTGCGACGGATGTGGACATATGCAACTGGAAGAAATGCAATTGTGTAAAAGAAATATAAATATTTGTATTTTGTACAAATGTCGTCTTGTTTAAAACTTAGGGTTTTAATGTTTACATATTTAAAGGGCCATGAAACGCGTCAGGATAGTGGGTGAGTTATCATTGTTTAGGTGGGAGTGTCGAGTGGTGAAAGAGGGAAGTGTTTACATGAAAAGGGAAATTTCGGTATTCGCATGAGCTGATTTTCACAGTAGTAACACAAACACAGCCATAGGAGAGATAGACAGTGATTCGGAGAGCATACAGTGGATCTGAGAGCTGTGTGAAAGTGGAGGATATTCAGTCCCTAATATTGTAGTGATATTACTGTAAACTTAGTAAGTATATAATTTTGACTAAGGTATGTCTTTAAAAACTGAAAGAGTTCTGCTTATGATACAAACTGACTTTGCCATCTAACGGACATAAACAAAGAACACTGATCACACACTTACCAGATCTGTAGAAACAGGACAATCAACACAGACTGGAGCCGCATCTTTTTGTAAAAGAAGACAAGTGGCAAATTCTGATTTTACCATTTCCAGATGCAAAAAGGTCTCATGTAAAAAAAAATAATAATAATTTTTTGGTTGCGTGTTAGCAGACCACTATAAGATCTACGCGCGAGCTGTGCTCTCATTGCGGGGAAATTGAAACAAAACCTTTGTTGCGACACATATAAAAGCAACACTGACGATCCATGCCTCCTAACAATTCTTCTTCTTCTACTTGTTTGGATTACGGTTGGCAACAGAATGTTGCATCTCTCTGAATACTATAACAGGTTAAAGGAGTCTTCGAAACTATATCATGCCTATTAATAAAGTTGCGTCTCATTCACAATAGAGTGCACTGATTGATTTGAACCAAGTTTTTCTAATGAATTAATGAACAGATGTGCTGAAAACTCATTGACATCACTTTGTACCAGCCGGTACAGACAGCCAATCTCCATGCTGGAATTTATACAATGATGGCATCGCCATGACGTTGCTTCAAAAGTTCTTTTTAAATCGGAAGAACGAATTTGCTCAATGCAAAAACAACCAATTTTTACCTTTTAGTAAAATAAACTTGTCCTAATAGTGTTTTTAGCCATGTGGGACATATATATATATGACTGTCAACATCTCAAACCATGTGTGTTGTTGTTCCGTGACCCTTTAAACGTACAACTTTTGCATCTGGAAAATAGACGACAACATTGTTTAAGCAATCTATGTTTTCATGGCAGCTAAAAGCGCTGCATTATGCATGTCAGGCCATTAGTTGGCGATGATACTTTGTGTAGAAGCACTACACACCAAAGCGCATACGGTCCTGTAGTCCAGTGCTGTTGTTTAGACTCTCTAGTACTTTTACAGAAACTTTTACCATGTTTTTTACAGAGTTTTACAGAAATTATCATTTTATTGTTAAAAGCTTGCACTTTGAAACCCAGCTCCAAAATGTCTTTTTAGAAAATGGTTGTGTAAATGAATATCCAGAAAGCGTAACCATGTCTGAATGCTGGAAAAGGTATTGTAAATGTTCATGCCGCCATATTTCATGTATTCACATTTTATAGTTTTTCTAAAAAGCAACCTAGAATTTTACATTAGAGCTGCTTCTGAAATTGCACGTGAGTATTTGAAGTATGTTCTATATAGTATGAATGCGAGTAGTATGAACTCACAGACTTTTGCATTTATTTTCATTTGAATTGTAACCCAGCAGGCACACAATGTCATAAGACGTTAATATTAGGTTAGATTTAGGTCATGATGTCAGGTGACCAAAATTCAATGTCTAGCCAGTGTCTAACGACATCATTTCTTTTGACATCCAATAACGACGTCAAATGACTTTTGGTTGATTTTAGGTTGTGTTGGAAAGTGACCAAAATCTTACATCGAGCCAACATCTTAAACCAAAATCATATTGAGGTAAAATACTGACATTTATTTACATTTGATAGACGTCATAATAATAATGTCCACACAACATCAAGCTGTAAAATCATTAGATGTTGATGTGTTTAGATTACGTTTGAAAGTGACCAAAATCCAAGGTTCTGACGTCAACCGGATTTTCTTTCCACCCAAAAAGCAACGTCCCACATTATTGGGGTACAATGTCAATCTGACGTCATGTTGATGTCCTGTGCCTGCTGGGAAGACTCAAGAGACTGAACTGATCACATGTACATATGTTACATTTATGTGTATTTATAAAAATATGTTTACACATATATTTGTAAAAAAAATAAATAAATCTAATCACAGTGGTGTTAGAGCATGTTTATTAATTGATTAATATACATGATGCCAGATATAATAGCTCTTTCTTGACAAAGACAAAGAGGTGATTTTTTTTGTAAATCTTTCCCCACGTTTAAATTCAAAACAACCGTAACATGTTACTTGTCATTTGTATTTGCATGAAATATTTGACTTTTTATAGACAATTTTCATGCAATACATTTCCACAGGTTTACAGAACTAACATAAAATCGAATTTAACTCTTTTCAAGGTCAATGTCTCCAGTCCTTACCGTTTATTAGCAAAACAGATCTTAGCATTTAATATTTTAAACATAATAGTGGCCTCAAAATGTTTAATTCTGTTTCTCTATACTGTTTTAGCATGGAATGCATGATAATGATCTAATGCAAATCAAGATTAAAATGAAAAGGCGCCTTTATTGAATGTAGCTTAATTTAAATGTAACCATTTTAAATGTAAACTTACGTAATAAAAAATGTAATCTACTAAGTATCAAATCTAAATCTGTTAATATGTATAAAATATATATCATTTTCTAACTTGGGATATAATAATAATAGCTAGCACCTCTGAATGTACAGTAAAGTCACTCTGCTGTGTCACTGATGTCGTTGAAGCGTTCATGGCTTGCTCTTGTCTGAAGTGTCCTGGTCTCTCTTTGTGTTGGTCATTCTCAAACGCTGACTCAACTCCTGAGTCAAAACTGTGCAGCAGGATTTCTGCGTGGACGACAACAGGTTTGTTTTCACTGAACATTTTATCATGAACAAAAACACAGTGTTCCACTCAACAGTTCAATGCTGAAGTAAATGGAAAAAGACACAGGAAATGAGCTTCCTGGTGTGGTAGTTTGTGCAGATGTTTGTGTGTGTGTGTGTGTGTGTGTGTGTGTGTGTGTGTGTGTGTGTGTGTGTGTGTGTGTGTGTGTGTGTGTGTTTATACTGGCTTTACTTGCCTTCTGTTCCCCTGCAGCGCTGCGAGACTTTGTGGTGAGTTCAAACAAGGATAGCAAAACTCCAATCCCAAGGCCTATAGCCAGCACCAGGAAGATGCCTTTCATGCTGTGGGCCCTCAGAGACGAGGCTTTGGCATTATCTGGTAAACAGCTGCTGGCCCACCACTTGGTACGCAGGTATGCCAGCTCCCCTGCCTCGCTCAGCTGCAGGATGGCCACGCTCAGGTTTTTCAGCATGGCAGATCCTGTCCCGATAAACACATTGATTCAGTGAAACCATTCATTACAGACTGAACTGCAGAGTAAACCTTAAAATAACTAGGGATCTTGCTTAAACAACTCAAGCACTCACCATAAAATCTACATTATAAAAATTTGCGGGGTAGGGTCAACCATTGGCTTACAAAGTGTAACTTAAATTTAATTCAAAATAAATTATCCAACATTTGGTTTATTCATGGGCAACACAGTGGCTCAGTGGTTAGCACTGTCGCCTCACAACAAGGTCGCTAATCCAGCCATTGGGTTAAAAACCTAAATTTCATTAAAAAAAATTATGGAATTTTGGCTTTGTACATATTTGACCCAACATTGCTTTATGACAACCCAGCATTTTTTAGATTGTAAATATTTTTTCATGTGTATTTTTCGTAAAAAAGCATCTCCTTTCTAGGACTGATATCATTAAACTTGGGTCATTCTAAACCTGGGTAAAGAGAAACCTGGAATTTGTTGCTTCCCAATTTACACCTGAGTTAATCCTTATTCACATATTTGCAGGGCCATTGTCACTGATTGGATTAATGTAGGACGCAACATTCGCTTCCTCGTCTTCCTAACTGCTATCAATTTTAGGCTGTAAAGGTAAGAATGAAGCGCTCTTCTTCACTTTGGTTTACTCCATTTTTAAAATAAAATCCTTAAATGACAATTTGTAAAAATGGGGTGCAAAGGGGTGTTAACTCCACTTATAAACTATTTATTTGAAACATTGTTATATGGCATTTCAAGAGTTCACCCTTAGCTGATGATTGATTATAAAACATGTTTGGCATGCTCTCCCAGGAGAGACCCCTGAGCTCAAAAGATCCTTGAGTCCGGGGCTTCCTCCCGTTTGCAGGGCGAGAGGGGAGTTTAAGCTCAGGTAGGTCTTAAGAACTCCCCTGATGTTTAGCTAGTGAGCAATTAAGGATTGTTTTGAAGATATAACTACTTAGTAGGAGCACGTCTATAGGGCCGATTTGGATTAGTCAACTTACTTAAGTTGTATGTATTTGGATGGTGGGAAGAAACCGGGGGAACCCACATAAGCACAGGGAAAGCATGTGAACTCCGCAAAGAAACATCAATTGGCCTGGTAAGGACTAGAACCAGTGACATTCTTGTTGTGGGGCAACAGTGCTAACCACTGGGCTGCCGTGCTGCTCATCTAGCAAAGGAGGAGTAGAGGTGGAAGGAGGGATTCTTTAAAACAAAGGTGACTATGCAATGGAACTTAGGTTATTTATGGAGACTTAGGAATCATCTGATTGTTGAATCATAAATTGAATAATGCGGGACCAGCTGTGATCAATCATCAGCACATGATCCTCTTGAAATTAGTTTATAAATACACTTTACTTGAAACAACTTACAAAGCATTCCAGATTATTCAAGCCAAAAGTTGAGAATATCTGTGTTGAAATATCCCCTGTTCAACTTTAACATTCAATCTTTCCAAAATCACTTTAAGCCAAATATTATGCAGTTCCAAATTCTTGTGCCTTAAACATGCCAGTAAACTACCTGACAAAAGTCTTGTCCTCAATTCCAGTTGTAAGAGCAAGAAATAATCACTTGACTTTTAGTTGATCAGTTGGAAAAGTGGCAGAAGGTAGATTTTTCTGATGAATGATCTGTTAAACTGCATCCCAATCCTCACAAATACTGCAAATTACCCGCATGGACTTAAGATTCTTACAGAAATCTGTCAAGTTTGGTGGAGGAAAAATCATGGTTTGGGGTTACATTCAGTATGAGGGCGTGCGGGAGATCTGCAGATTGGATGGAAAGATCAACAGCCTGAGGTATCAAGACATTTGTGCTGCCCATTATATTACAAACCACAGGAAAGGGAAATTCTTCAGCAGGATTACGCTCCTTTTCATACTTCAGCCACCACATCAAAGATCCTGAAAGCAAAGAAGGTCAAGGTGCTCCAGGATTGGCCTGCCCAGTCACCAGACATGAACATTATTTAGGATGTCTGGGGTAAGGTGAAGGAGGAGGCATTGAAGATTAATCCAAATAAACTTGAACTCTGGGAGTCCTGCAAGAACGTTTTCTTTGCCATTCCAGATGACTTTATTAATAAGTTATTTCAGAGTCATTGCAGAGGATGCAGTCCTCCAAGCTCATGGGAGTCATACACAATATTAATTATTTTTCACTGCAGCATGACTTAAAGTCCTTAAACATGTTAGCAACAAGCTAATTTAAGCTAGTTAGAATCTACATGAAAACAAACTTGATAGCCAACAATACGGTATGCAACAAAGTTCCAATCTGTCCCTGGAGGAGCACCTCAAACAACTAAACAAGGTTTTCAGATTCACTATGGGTGCTTTTCAATTGGAAGACGCATCCTAGTTCGGTCGAAGGTCAGCTCAGATTGAAGGATCTTTTGTTTCATATTCTTTATTCAGCCTGTTGCATCAGGTGTCTCCTTTGCAGCCTTCTGCAAATTATGATTTCTGACCATGACTGCGGGCCAGAAAACATTTAGAAACATTCATGCATTTGAAGCTGTTAAGGACTCTGTAGCCTTGGAGCCTTTAGATAAGGAGTAAATGAGTTCAGTCCTTGAGACCCACAGCACTGCAGAGTACCACTCCAACTTTAAAAGAAACCCAGAGTATTAAGACATCTATGGCTTTTATATATATTATTTTATATATGTAACATAAACATGTCTCTTACTGACATGTGAAATAGAAAACTCATGAAAGATTTACATTATTTTTTTAAAGTCTATTCATTTTGTACTGTATAGGGGTATAATTTTTTTATTCTGGGTCAGTGATGTCAAAGGATTGCACAATGTGGGCTACTTGTACTGCCTGTTGCTATTTTCAGTGCAACACAACTAGGAAAGTATAATACTAGACACAAATACTAGTCTGGATAGACTCTTTATTGGGAACAATCAATGGCAGTGTATTTAGTTTAAGCTTACATTTATATATATAGCCACCTGTAAGCTCCTTCAGTAGCTCTGGTCAACTAAAAGCCTCAAAGACATCAGGGCTAAAGTGGAGAGAACAAAGACTTGGTCTATTCATCCAATTTTTCATTTATAACACATTCTTTTATCCACTTTTTATTGCTAGGAAGCAAGTGAAAACTTAGATTGCATCTCTTGATGCCCTTATTTGCCCTCAGTGGTTAGTGGTTAGCACTGTCGCCTCACAGCAAGAAGGTTGCTGGTTTGAGTCCCAGCAGGCCCAGTTATCATTTCTGTGGGGAGTTTACATATTCTCCCCATGTTTCCTCC